GAGTGGCTGCGTCATCGTTTGTAAAGTCCTCCGTTTTGGCCCGTCTTCAATAAAACGCCCTCCGGAGTTTTGAAACGCAAAACAGTCTATGTTCCCATTTGTCAGCATGGACCTTGCTGACAATTTGGAACATAGACCTCCAATGGTGGGTACAATGGGGGGTTCTATGTTCCCAATTGTCAGGACAAATGTCAAAAAGCTTCCCAAATGTTACTTTGGAGGGTACCTGAACAACAGCTGGGTCCCCCTCTTCTGTTCCTGGAGCTCCCCCTCATTAATGAGAGTGTGTCCTGGTATATGTGGAGACTTATGTAAACCTGGTGATGGTTCCTGGGGGCCCCAGGACCACAAGGTCCAGTCTGACAAATGGGAACATACACCCCCCATTGTAAGTGATGCCATTTATCAGAAAATGTTCAATTCCTTATTTTCTGACATTTGTCATGAAAGGAAGGCTGTGACATCATTGAGCAAGGATCAAAACATCACTATCCTACCTGCTGACAAAGGAAGATGCACAGTAGTCCTTAACGCAGCGGACTACCAGAACAAAGTCAACACACTACTAATGGACACAAACAAATATGAGACACTGAGACGAGACCCAACCAGCGGATACAAGAAAAAGGCCATAGAATGTCTACAACAGCTACAGAAAGACAACACCATCACCCGTGAACAATATTACCTTTTGTATCATGGAGAAACCATTCCATGCATTTATGGACTACCCAAGATACACAAAGAAGGAGCCCCACTCAGGCCGATTATCAGCAGCATTAACTCGGTTGCCTACAACATTGCCAAACACTTTTCTACCATCTTAGCTCCCTTGGTGGGAAACACGCCTCACCTCATCCAAAACTCCATTGACTTTGTAAACAAAGTTTGAGGACTGAAACTGAACCCAGATGAAACCATGGTATCCTATGACGTGACTTATTTGTTCACCTGCATCCCCACCATAGCAGCAGTAGAAACCGTAAGGAAGCGGCTAACACAAGACAACGCCCTGTCCAGATCTGTAAATTACTCGACCTCTGTCTACCACCACTTATTTCCAGTACAATGGAGGATTCTACAGACAGAAGCATGGCTGTGCCATGGGTTCACCGGTATCCCCAATTGTGGCGAACATAGAGCAAAGCCCTCAACTCCTTCAGAGGAACAGCACCGAGCCACTGGTACAGATATGTGGACGATACCTGGGTAAAAATTAAAAAGCAGGAAGTGCAAGCCTTCACAGAACACATCAACTCTGTGGACAGTAACATCAAGCTCACACGAGAAGATGTCCACAACAACAGTTTGGCCTTCCTAGACTGCGCTGTACACATTGAAGAGGACAGGAGCCTGCAAATTGGTGTTTACAGAAAACCCACACACAAAGACCAATACCTACTCTTCGATTCCCACCACCCACTGGAGCATAAGCTAGGGGTCATGAGAATACTGCACCACAGAGCGGAAAACATACCAACAAGCGCCCAAACCAGAGAGAAGGAACAGAACCACCTGAAGGGGGCACTTACAGCCTGTGGATACCTTAAATTGACCTTTGTGAAAACAGCCACAAGATCCAAGAAGAACAAAACTACAGGGGAGGAGGAAAAGAAGGTCAAACGCAACAACATTGTGATTCCATATGTGTCTGGAGTATCAGAGAAACTCAGGAGGATTTTCAGCAAACACAACATCCCTGTGTTTTTTAAACCCAAGATCACACTAAGACAGATACTGGTACACCCCAAAGACAGCACACCAAAACACAAGAAAAGCAATCTAGTTCATGCTATCCAATGCAGTGAGGAATGCACAGACCTGTATATTGGGGAGACTAAACAACCATTACGCAAACACATGGCTCAATACAGAAGGGCCAACTCCTCAGGTCAAGACTCTGCAGTTTACTTACATCTGAAGGACAGAGGACACTCGTTTGTGGACCACCAGGTGCACATTTTAGACAGAGAAGATGGATGGTTTGAAAGAGGTGTCAAGAAAGCCATCTACACCAGGGTCGAGAAGCCATCGCTGAACAGAGGAGGGGGTGTACACCACCACTTATCCCCCACTTACAATGCGGTCCTTTCATCACTTCCCAGGAAACTTAACAAACGTAACCTATTGGCCTCAAGTGAGATACCAACGATGGTCATTCAGTCTTGGCCTCGGGTAGTCCTAATGACCATAACAACTGTTGTTACAACAGCCAGGAACACTAACGAACCAGCAGTATCAACGATCCTGGCAAACGACCCCACTGAGGTTAAATAGCTGAGTTTCCCTACCAGTCAGTCAGAAATGAAGAAATCGCTTGGATGAGGGACCAACCAAGTCCAGTTGCCCTTGACTTTAACCTTCGTTGGATTGGAAAGGGAGGGGTGAGCGGGGACTAGTGGTGCATGCAAGTGGTGTCGGAATTATCAGAACCTTTTTTTCATCCTTTAATCTTTATTGCAAAAAGAGAAATAAAGTGTATATTCACAACTTTGATTCGTGCAAAACCATGTATTGCATATACATATTTTCCAAACATGCTGTCTATGTAGAGTGAACTAGATATGAGTGTTGTTTATATGCTCTGATAATGCTCCTAATCAACACACCTTTGTAGTAGAGTCCATGTTACTTCAACATTCCAACTTAAGAGCACATGAACACACACTGAAGTGCACAAAGCCAAGCCAGACCTGACCCTGGTGGATGTCAACAATAACACTGCCCTTCACTTAGCCTGCAGCAAGGTCACATACACATGATACACACACAAATGCATGTACTGTATGCATGCCTAATAACTTTTGGAACAGTAAAATAAACTGTCAGATCAGGTGATAACCTGCCAAAATATAATAAAATCCTTGTTAAAATTGTTATCAAACGTATGTCAATTTTCAAAATTAACTAGGGCTGTCCTCGACTAAGGGTTTACATAGTCAAATCAGAATCGTCAAGTCCTGCCTATAGTCGAATCACATGTTTTTGTGCACGGCGATTGCGAGGCTTATTGTTGACCATTTTCTCTCTCTTTCTCTGTCTCTCTCTGTTTCTCTACTGTGCTGCCGACAACTGCATGCACATCGCGGTTCCTCTCGGGTCTATTTAAGGTAGCGGCTGTTTAAAAAACGATAAAATATTCTTTGTGTGCTTCATCAACGGTGATAAATTATCCGAAAGTCCCGCAAGGTGCGGACAACTCGGCACAACACAAGTGAAGCTGGGGCTCCGTCTCTTCAGCAAGTGTTCCTCTGCTGCCACTACATACACGCTATGCCTACACATGCGCACTGACGACCCAGAGTTAGGGTTACAATTTTGGATTTATTCATGCACTTTAAACATTTGTTGGAAGTTTTTTTTTTTTTTTACAAGTTTTTTTACAGCATTAAACGTTTAAATGTGTATTGTAATAGGCTGTACATTAACTTATTGGGAGAAAACTGGTAGATCTATGTAAAATCAGACATTGAGCACCGTCACGAGCACCGTCACGGTGATAACCTGCCAAAATATAATAAAATCCTTGTTAAAATTGTTATCAAACATATGTCAATTTTCAAAATTAACTAGGGAATGACTTCACAACTCGGGAAATGGGACCATCCGAGGAGCATGTGAATGCATCGAGAGCTGCTGGCTGCAAATTGCAACCCTCACTACTAGATGCCACTAAAACTTACACACTGAATCTTTAAACTTTTACGTTTGGCATATCTTTGAAAGGAGCGGTCAGTGCTCCCATTTAGACACCACACTGTGTCAAAAATCTTCCCATTTGTCACATTAATATTTGGTAACCAAAACACCAGAGCCCAACATGGGGCTAGGGTAAGTGTTTATTTATCACGTTAAATGTTAATCTCACGTGGTCCAAAAAAACAGGAAGGAAAGGTTGAGGTAATTACCTAAGGTGGATGGAGTCAAAATTTTGACTGTGAGGGCATTAGTTGCTTACTTTGGCTGTTGTTTCATTTCTCCCCTTTTCGTTCTGCCATGCACCCTTTATAACACCCAATCCATGCATTTGATCCCACCGCTTGTTTTGAACACCCCTTACTGAACTTCCCCATAAATTATCTGCACCCAACATGTGACTTGATCCCACAGTAAGTGTCTTATGCCAACTGCGCCAGCAAGGATCACTACACTTCGTAGGGTGGAGCCTTTCTGCTACATTTGCAATATCGGTATAACATCTTGGCTTGATTGGCTCTCCTAAAAACACCAGTCTGTGCATGGGACTAATGCTGCGTTCCAGGCAACTCGGAACTGGGAAATTTCCAACCTCCAACTAGAAAAACTACACTGGAACGCCACCTGAAGTCGGATTTCCTACTTGTGAACTCGGAGTAGCAGCTGAATTACGTCACAGAACAATCTCAGCACCCATGGAAGCACACATTGTAAATCGTAAACCATAAAGTAAAAAGCAACAAAAAGTATATTTGCATGCATTTAAATTAAAATACATACGGTCAATAAAGTAAAACCTGTTCTGCATGTGCCTTGATGTAGAAATATGTTAGGCCTATTAGGTAGCTGGCTACATAAAGTCATCTTCTCTGCATAAAAGTTATTGTTAAAAATGCCAAAACATTAGGAAGTGTAACCTACACCATTGACTGACTTGAGGGTTACCAACTGATGTAGCTATAGGGGTACACAGAACTAGTAACATATAGGCAATTTATGTCAGTTGTTGCAGTTAAACTGCCATCCTTTTAATTAACACCTAAAACACTGCTGAGGGTGTAATTGTGTGTACACTATGTCACGGTCAGCCATGGTTTTCGTTCACTTTCAGCGTCATGCACCCGGAACGCATTGAGGTTGGAAGTCGGAAGTTTCAACTGCGAAATATACCAGTTCTGACCGGTCTCAAACGCAGAATTAAAACCTGCCACTAACATCATGTGGCCAACATGTTCATGACCCAATCTGTGTTAGTCATGGAACTCAAATGGGAAATGGTCAGAAAAATGCAAAGGCACTTTTGATGTGATTTGACTGAGGATTTATTTGTGTTCTCTCATATGAATGCAACTAAAATCACACATAGTATAGATGGGACACCCTGAACTCTCAGTAAGATGTGTTCACATGAAAAGCTTCAACAGAGCATTTCCTAAAGACAAACATTATTCAAAACATTTCACTGCAACTTGTGTTTAGAAATGTCAGGTCTTCCTCCAATCTTTTCATCCAAATGAAACAAGGACATGTTCATACTGACTTGGGTTATACCGTTATGAATGTTCAGTCAATAAAATGCACTTTCAAATTAGCATAACCCTAAGGATACCTTCCTGTAAAATGTAAACTTTCATGCCAGAGTGCAAACTGTTTAAAGCCATTTTAAGATAATACAGCAGTTATTAATTGGGGAGGGGGGTCAAACAGGAAAAGTTTGTGTGTGTGTTTACGTCTTCCAAATTATAAAAAACAAACAAACAAACATGTCATACAGACCTCCATTTATAAAAACTTGATCTTTAAAGAGAGATAGGTAGTCACATCTGTGTACCAGTACTGGCCTACTAAAAGTAAAAATTAATCGTTAAAAACACTAAATTCTGTGTGCTTCCAATTTTTCTAGTTTTATAAAATATATCATAAAATGGATATCCTGTACAGTAACACATAGAAAGTATTATCAAGTAGTTACTAGACACAGATTTATTGAATGTCAATAAATACTGGACAATAACTGAAAATTAGCTGACCATTTGATAATTAATATTTTCTGGTTCCAGCCTCTTAAATGTGAGGGCTTTGCTGCTTTTATTTGTCTTCTATAAGTAGAAGTTAAATATCTTTGGGTTTAAGACTGCTGATCAGAAAAAGCGAGCAATTTCAAAATTATCAACCAATTAATAAAAAAAATGTAATTAATCTTTAATGCATATGTGGTGAAATGTCACATTTAATAAAGACATAAGACATTGATGCTCCGAGTCTAAAAGATAATTTTTTCCTGTTTATTAAAACTGTCACGTTAAAATCACCACGTTTTTTTATTCTGCTGACCTTTTCATTAGGTTGATTTAATTTAAATATGATACTTCTGTCATACTTGTTATGTAACATCCGGCTTAAAATGTGTTTTTATTGCATCCACAGTACAGTACACACAGACCTGAGGTTAATTCTCAATTTGGGATTCTCAAGATAATACAAGTAAAACGTTAACTTAATTTTAAGAAACACGCACACGCACACACGCACACACACCTCTAGATATCTATCTCTCTTGATAGATAGACAGATAGATAGAGACACACACACACACACACTAAACTCTGTAAACTACAACATTACTACTATACACATGCTTGTGACTTTACTTAACCGAAAGGTAAGTTGATCTTTTTATAATAAGATATTTTTAGAGCAATATGGTTATTTCTATCATTGTAGTGTTTGCTACATTTTGGACAGGATAAGAAAATAGAGTCTTATTAATTGCATAAAAAGGTTTAAAGCACCAATTAGATATTTTAAACAATTACATTTAGAAGCAATGTCTAAAATGCAAAATAACAGACAGACAGACAGACAGACAGACAGACAGACAGAGCTTAAACACACAAACGCCCAGGTATTCTTGCACTTGTATCAGCTGAGGACGAACACAGGAGACTTCAGGCTTTGGTGGTTAATGAGCTCAGAAATTCAAGCCACAGTGGACAGGAGTTCTAGCGGAGAGGCTCAAGTTAAAACTTTTCATTTCTAATGGTTAGTACTTAATTAAAACAATATATGATGTGCTAAACTCAACTGGTGTGATATCTAGATAATCTAAGAGGTCTGCTAATATTAGTGATCTGTAAGACTAGATTTTAGAGAAGCAATCAATGCTACTGGTGCATGAGCACATTAGTGTACGTGAAGCTGCAGATAACACACCTGTATACATGTCATGGTGCTACGCATGGCCACACTAGTTCCTGTCTGTGGTTTTGTGTAGAGACTTTCGGTTACATGGGATGAAATTTCACTCCAAACATTTGTGCAGCCCAGTAGTGCTGGTGCGGCCCTTGGTTTAGGCATGACACAGGTTGCCACTTGACCCACAGGTGGCAGCAATGACACAGTTCTTCAGAATGGGGTTGAAGTGGGAGGCTGTACCGGTGCTGGCTTCTCTGGGAGGATAAGGCTTCATGGTGGAGAGGATCATGGCCAGACAGTCCGCCACGTTCTTGTTTGGAGCACAGGCCAGAGCCGGCGTGTGACCTGTAGAGGGTCAACAAGCAAAGAATCATCCTACGGTGTCCTTCAGGTAAATTTTTTTGGTGGAAACTTAGGCCGCTTTGGAATTGTACCACAGAAATATAATTATTCCTGCTTACCTTCCTCATCTACGGCCATGACTGCTGCTCCTCTGCTCAGTAAAACCTGCACTACAGTGGCCAGGCCTTTCCTTGCTGCAATGTGAAGGGGCCTGCATGCGACAAAGTATTAGAGTCACTGTTAGACATTTGGAGAATAAAGTTTTCTTTTCTCTAAATGATGACTTTACTCTCAAAATATTTTTCTCTCATGTTACGACTTAATATTCAAATTCTGTCGTACCCCTTTGATCCTTTTCCAGGTTACAGTTCAATGGAGCATTTCATGTTAACCCGCACTCTGCCAAACATCAACTAGTCTAAATCTTCTGATGGACAACACTGATATTTTAATGCCCTGCAATATTAACCTGTGTAATCTATCATCACACACGGTCTCACTGAAATAGGCTCTTTAAATGCACACTGTGCATTTTATACTGTTGCATGTTAATACTAAACTTCAGAATGCATACTTTTTTCTTATTTATAAATTAGCTAAATATTATTATCTTGATTTGATCTGTGGTGTTTAATTAACTGCATGCACAACGTATAGCAGCCAGTGCTTTAAGACCACTCACATTTGGAGAGCGTTGTTTGTTGCATTTATGAGGGAGGAGTCGTTTATCTCTCCCAGGATCAACAGGGCACACATCTCATGACCCTGTAGAATAAAACACAATGTACTAAGTGATGAGGTGTTTAAGGTGTTCATTTAATTCATTTAGTGAATTTCCCACTTATAGCACCACATTATTACTGTTATTAGGTATTATGAAATAAAACATGTTACAATTTAGTATGACGTGAGTAGCATAACAATGTTAATTTTAGGGCTGACCCCAAATAGTCGAAGATTCGATGCTTCGATGGGTGGAGCCTGATTCGACTGTCAATCTCACAGGGAAAGGGACTTTCGGATAATTTATCACCGTTGATGAACACACAAAGAATATTTTATCGTTTTTAAACAGCCGCTACTTGAAATAGACCCGCGAGGAACCGCGATGTGCATGCAGTTGTCGGCAGCACAGCAGAGACACAGAGAAAGAGAGAGAAAATGGTCAACAATAAGCCTCGCAATCGCCGTGCACAAAAACATGTGATTCGACTATAGGCAGGACTTGACGATTCTGATTTGACTATGTAAACCCTTAGTCGAGGACAGCCCTAGTTAATTTTGAAAATTGACATACGTTTGATAACAATTTTAACAAGGATTTTATTATATTTTGGCAGGTTATCACCTGATCTGACAGTTGTTACTGTTCCTACACACATGCAAATGTTATTAGGCATGCATACAGTGTGTTTATCATGTGTATGTGACCTTGCTGCAGGCTAAGTGAAGGGCAGTGTTATTGTTGACATCCACCAGGGTCAGGTCTGGCTTGGCTTTGTGCAGCAAGAACTCTAAAATAAAGGAAAATAAGACATCTTTTACATTGAACACAGGCCTTTATAATTTAAACACTTAGCTGGTGTGTTTTCATTGGAGCAACTTACAATCAGTGCAACAGGGGAGCAGCTTCATATCGAGTATTAAAGGTAACCATTAGTGAGGACTGTGAGGGTAAAAACAGTAACCACATGCTAAAAGGAGAAATATGAATTCCTCTCTCCTGAATAATCGTGTGTGATTGAGTGCTTGATAAGAAATAATCATGAACAGAGCAAATTGAGAGGGAAGATGGGTGAAAGAGGGACCTTGTGCCTTGATGTGTTTTAAAGTCTCCCCTGGTGTAGATAAGAATAATAGCATACACATTTAGACACCAACCAGGGGAATTTCACCTACCAACAGCCATAGTCTGTCCACAGTCTGCAGCAACCATTAGAGCAGAGCATCCACAATGGTCCACAGCGTTGACTTCTGCTCCCTGGGCCAGGACCAGCTGCAGCCCAGCAACATTTCCTGAATAAGCAGCCGCATGCAGCGTGGTCCTGCACCCACACAAACATACACATGAATATAAAGGATAGGCAGACACATTTACTTAATGCAATATGCCTTTATAGGTTTCTTGAAAATGACTATATCATACAGTATTATGAATTGTATTGATATGACATATATATGACTAATATATGAATAGAAACTGACAATTTTGAGGGATATTCTGGACCAAATGGATGGAAATTATCATGTTGAGCTGTGCATATGTACAACCACTGCTTGTAGATGTGTGCCTGAATTAAAAAGAAACCTAAAAATTCTACATTTACAAAATCCATTCAGCGTGCATGAAATATACAGTGGGGAGAACAAGTATTTGATACACTGCCGATTTTGCAGGTTTTCCTACTTACAAAGCATGTAGAGGTCTGTAATTAAAACAATCTAAAACAAAAATCCAGAAAATCACCTTGTATGATTTTTAAATAATTAATTTGCATTTTATTGCATGACATAAGTATTTGATCTCCTACCAACCAGTAAGAACTCCGGCTCTCACAGACCTGTTAGTTCTTCTTTAAGAAGCCCTCCTGTTCTCCACTCATTACCTGTATTAACTGCACCTGTTTGAACTCGTTACCTGTATAAAAGACACCTGTCCACACATTCAATCAAACAGACTCCAACCACTCCACAATGGCCAAGACCAGAGAGCTGTGTAAGGACATCAGGGATAAAATTGTAGACCTGCACAAGGCTGGGAGCAGCTTGGTGAGAAGGCAACAACTGTTGGCGCAATTATTAGAAAATGGAAGAAGTTCAAGATGACAGTCAATCTCCATTGGTCTGGGGCTCCATGCAAGATCTCACCTCGTGGGGCATCAATGATCATGAGGAAGGTGAGGAATCAGCCCAGAACTATATGGCAGGACCTGGTCAATAATCTTAAGAGAGCTGGGACCACAGTCTCAAAGAAAACCATTAGTAACGCACTACGCTGTCATGGATTAAAATCCTGCAGCGCACGTAAGATCCCCCTGCTCAAGCCAGCGCATGTCCAGGCCCGTCTGAAGTTTGCCAATGACCATCTGGATGATCCAGAGGAGGAATGGGAGAAGGTCATGTGGTCTGATGAGACAAAAATAGAGCTTTATGGTCTAAACTCCACTCGCCGTGTTTGGAGGAAGAAGAAGGATGAGTACAACCCCAAGAACACCATCCCAACCGTGAAGCATGGAGGTGGAAACATCATTCTTTGGGGATGCTTTTCTGCAAAGGGGACAGGACGACTGCACCGTATTGAGGGGAGGATGGATGGGGCCATGTATCGCGAGATCTTTGCCAACAACCTCCTTCCCTCAATAAGAGCATTGAAGATGGGTCGTGGCTGGGCTTCTTCCAGCATGACAACGACAAATACTTATGTCATGCAAATTAATTATTTAAAAATCATACAATGTGATTTTGTGGATTTTTGTTTTAGATTCCGTCTCTCACAGTTGAAGTGTACCTATGATAAAAATTACAGACATCTACATGCTTTGCTGATTTTGCAGGTTTTCCTACTTACAGTGTATCAAATACTTGTTCTCCCCACTGTATTTGTATGATGATCAGTAGAGAACCCACCTTCCTTTGGCATCACTAACGTTAACAATTTGAGGGCCAACAGTCTTCACTAGAAGTTCAGCAGCAACATCATGTCCATTGACTCTGCGTGGGAGGAACTAAGTTGTTACATTTTGAAGAACCACATTTATCTAGTAAACATTTGTATGATGACCATTTACTACAGTACTCACAGGGCACAATGCAATGGGGTGAAGAGATTTCCTTCCTGGTTGCTAAAAAGTTTGTTTTCAAGTAAAATGTGTAAACATCCTTCACGCCCTACAGACACAGGAAACAAATGGACAAATGATTAATATTCAGATCTTTGTAAAATCATGTATCTCACCACCCAAGTGTTTAACAAGACAGTGAAGTGTTATTCATAGGCTAACATTTTGCTGTGGATAAGACATAGTGATGAGAGACTGCTGGTGCTGCTTATCTGTATTCATGTCCACGTTTGCTCTATTCAACACTCCACTAATTAGTTTGTTAAATTTAGACATGAATTCTTGCCCTTATGTCTCACCGTGGTGGGCAGCCCAGTGGGTGGGCGTGTAGCCTCTGTGGTCCAATATGGAGTCCAGAGGGTCAGCTTTCATAGCAGCCTTTAGCAAGGTTCGGAGTAGCTCTGTGTGGCCGAGTGACGCTGCATGGTGCAGCGGGGTCATTCCCCGAGAGTCTCTACACAGAGCAGAGGCCCCATGTTCCAACAGAGCAGATACACAGTCCTCACTGCCCAACATGGCCTGCACACAAGATATCATGAGAGAGGAAAACAATGCAGCTTGAACATCCAAGAATCTGTACAGGGACGTTTTCCCCCCTATTTAAATAGAGATGGGCAATTAAAAACACACACGAGTACATCAAATACACGTACAGCTCTGTGTAATGCAGTGAAGCCCTTTTTGTCTGCAGCATCAGCCTTCGCTCCTTTCTCCAACAGGATGTGGACACAGTCGGTGTGACGTCCCAGAGCTGCCAGCATGAGAGCCGTCCTGCATACGACAAAAAGCAAACAAACAAGAATTCACTGCTGTGAGAAAAATTCTCTGATCTTGTCAGAAGATTAGTAAAAGGTTTGGTGGTAAAGTCACCTGACTGCATTAGAAGTTTTCTCCGCCATTTTACTGTTAATAAAACAGCATTATTTTTTATTTGTGCTTGAATATTAGCTGGCAGTAAATAAACAAAATTGACTCTCTGACTCTGTTCAGAGATCTTTGATGCTGCCAAATAAATTAGCATCCATTTGATACAATAAATACTTTCAACTAACTATGAACCTGAGTGTGTGTCAAGATAAACAGTGAAACCAGAGTAGTCATGCCACAGAAAATGAAAACTGGTCAGTCACTACTGGCATAACTCATAAGGTTTCTACATTGTTGTTGTTGTAAATAACCTAAAGCGGTATTTTAGATTCTGTCATGTCATAACATGACAAAATATTAGGGATGAGATAGTTAATTTTTATTGATGCCCTTATTGAGACTGCTTAACGATCCGATTCTTTATCGATACTTTACTATTATTTAGTGATGGTTATTTGGTAAGACCAGACCCAACGGGCATAAGGTAGGACTGTACGGTATGAGGAAAATATTCAATGTGCGATAACATTATATATTGAGATGACATATCACTTGCGATAACATATATTGAAGTGTACATACGTATTAACTGCCTTAATTTAATATTTTAAATACAGCTAAATGTTGTTTCTAGAGCAGCAACATTAATGTTTACAACAGCAAAGTAACTCAATAACTTTTGTCTGACATCACAAGTAGTGAGTGACGTTTAGAAAGAACAACATCAGTCTGTATCAGTCCCTCCTCCTCTCTCGCTGGCTGCAGGTAACGTTACCAGGTAGAAGGAGGAGCGGCAGGTTTGTCTCAGCCAGCAGCTGAGTTTTTAAGACTACAGACCAGTCCGTGCTCCAGACAGACAGCTTTTTTAGCTTGTTTTTAACATTTGGCTAATGCCAAGCTAGCGTTAGCTGTGCTTGTATAAAACATGCAGGATGAGATATTGAGGACAGAGATGATTAAATTAACCCTTTCTACATGTTTAACGTTACCTTACAGACAGGTGTATTGATAAAGTATTGTCTTTTTACTTGCGAGGGTTTTATTGCAGGTACTTACAGTAACAAGCGTAGCTGTCATCAACTAACATTACAGTAGTTTGGAGGTAACTTCACCCTCACTGTAACGTTATTCCACCGCGACGGCGCAGCCTCTTGCTCTGCAGCCGCTGTCTGTGTATGTGTGTGTGTGTAGGAGCCCACAGAGAGCAGGCAGAGACTGCAACCTGATGATTTTCTTATTCATTGCGTTTCAAATTAAATCAGATTTGACGCTCGAGACATAATGTTACATTATAGGACCCGCAAGTCTCGATAGCAGTTTCGATAAGCTCGAACCTTATTGATTTTCAGGTTGAGAAATTTTGGAACCGGGTCTCGATCCCCATCCCTACAAAATATTTTAATAAGTTTCAAATTAACAGAATGACATGTAAAGGCTGTACATATCAGGTGTTTACCTAATTAAACAATAATAAATAAGAGTATAAAATATTAAGTGACTCACTGTCCCTGTGTATCTGGACTGTCGATGACGTCTGCGCTTTGTTCCATGTTGACCAATAAAAGCAGACAATCCATTTGGCCCTCAGCAGCTGCGCGAGAGTAAAATATCAAGTAAAAAATATCAGTTTCACAGAGATTAATTAAAAACTAAAAACTGGTTTCTTCTCATAACATTGTCTAACAAACATCCCATTCCTTAAACCCGATCCAACACATGCCTGCAGCATGGAGAGCTGTCCACTTGTGCTTGTGCTCCTTCAGTGTGTAGGAGGCTTGATGTTTCAGCAGCACTTCCACACACGGGGCAAAACCTCTCCGAGCAGCCAGGTGGAGGGCTGTTCTGCCTTCAATGTCCCGAACATCCAGACTCACTAACGTCTCAGAGAGCAAACACAGGGCCTCACAGTGACCATAATATGCCTGAACAGCAGAAAGCAAAAAACAACAGAGTCAAAGGCTTGTAAGCATGTGGTTTTCATTTAAAAGTTCTTCTCCAGTATATTAATTGTAATCGTGTGGTACTCACAGCTAAGTGCAAAGGACTGACTGGTATATTACTTTCAACCTCCTCTAGACAGTTGAAAGATATCTCCAGGAGCTGCAAGTGAGAGAAGAAAGACAGAAAACCTAATTTAGGTCTAGACTGCAATCGATTTAAAAAGAAATCAAAATCAAAGCCTCTACATCAAAAGATACCACTGACCAGTTCCAGGTGCTGTTTGTTCCCATAAGCTGCTGCATAGTGGACTGCACTGTAACCCTTACAGTTCTTCAGAGTTGGGTTCGCCCCATTGTCAAGCAAGTAGTCTAAACAACTGAACACACAGAGCAAAACAATATTCTTCTAACGAGAATCATGAAAGACATTTATGTAGATGGATTTATATATCAAAATGAAACCCTTTTTCTGTAAAGTGTCCAAATTTTTAACTAATCTTACACTAGTCTTACAAATGTTTGTGCAGATTTCACCGTGATTGTGACTTTTTTCTGATCTGATTTTGTTCTTAACTACTTTTTGAAGAAACTTAAAGGTTCTCTCTGTCAACACACACTTCAACAACAACCCTAGGGGCCCTATTTAAAAATCTATTGTGCATGATCTAAAGTGTGTGGCACAAGTGCATTTGAGCTGGTCGCACTCCACTTTTGCTCATTTACCTAGTTGACTATGTTAATGGCGCATAATCTTGGTGCAAATTAAGTGTGTAACATGAATAGTGTTTTCTCTAGGGATGCACGATTATTATCGATCTGATATATCTGCAGATATTGGCCATATTTTCATTATCTGAATCATATTGGAAAATGAAATTTGGCTGAAGATTTAGCCCATTACAATCAAACAATGCTGTAACATGCGCCGCTGTTGTTGTCACGCTCAGGGTGTCATGTTGCTGCGCCTGGACAGAGCCACGCAGATGCGGTTGCAGGCAGCTAGAGCCAAACAAACAAGTTGTCAGGTTTGTATGTTTATCACAGATTCAAAAGAAGACATCTCTATTGCAATATGGCATCAGTCCTTCCTTTTGTCCTCCTCCCCTCACTCTCCGCTGCGATTCACTACACATAACAGTGTGCTAAATGTTAAGCTACATGGCAAACAAAGCTTAACAGTTAGACTAAGTTACTGATTTAAGTTAGCTGGTTTGTACAAGTGGCTAACTGCCAAGCTAACCATAGCTGTGCTTACATAAAACATAGAGATGAACAGATGTATTGATGAAGTATTGTCTTTTTAGTCGCAAAGGTTTTATTCCACGCAACGTTAACTTACTGACAGTAACGAGCGCCGCTATCATCAACTCGAATGGTTTGGAGCTAACGTTACCTTCAGTTTACTGTCTCCACAGTGGTCTTTCTTTCCGCTGGCCGCTGTATGAGTGTGCAGGAGCCAACACACAGCATGTAGAGAATGGAAATAAACAGTACGGTCTTTATACCTGGTCCAGTTTAATACTGCGTTTTGGTGCCCGTCACTAAATAACAGTTGTTGTTTTTTTTATCCATCGCATTTCAAGTTAAATCCGATGTGATTAAAATGACATTTTAAACACTCCCGACTTGCCTTCTCTCATCTAAAACGCATGCTAAGGAGTTTGCTGGAGCAGTGTGAACAGCTAGAGATATTAGCTAAGCTACAGCCACAGCAGCAGACGTGATCCCCTCCCCAGCCTTGTTTGATAGGCTTTAAAGCACATCCTAAGGACTGAGGTTTTAGGTCTGGACTACACCTGCTTTTATTTTGTGCAATAGAGAGCTCCCTGTTACAGTGCTGATTACAGCTTGGAAAACTATATGGAGCTTGGTTCTTAAGGTTTTACTTAAAAATAAAAAGTGCCAGTGGTATATGATATTTCCTCCCCCAAGTGAAATAATTTAATTAATTTTCAGGGGTAATTGTAGATAATAATAATAAAAAAAATAAATAGACAATTTGTAAATATTAGGTAGAATCAAATGTTATTCGTCTTGTTTAATAATATCTGTTTCAGGGCTGACCCCCAATAGTCGAAGATTCAATGCGCCGATGGGCGGAGCCTGATTCGACTGTCAATCTCACAGTCGAAGCTTCGTAGTGAAACCAGGATCATGCCATTTTGGCGATATGGGGGTGCTCAACGTCTGATTTTACATAGATCTACCAGTTTTCTCCCAATAAGTTAATGTACAGCCTATTACAATACACATTTAAACGTTTAATGCTGTAAATAAACATGTAAAAAGAATAAAACTTCCAATAAGTGTTATCTCCTAGTTATCTCCCTTTCCTTTTAAAAGCCAGGTGAGCCTGCATTGTTATTTAACTGGCGGATGAACAGCACATTATAAAAAATATCAATTGAAACATGGGCGATGCAGACTCGCAGCAAAGAGAGAGAGAAATAAAGTTCATGTGGATGAGAGAGAGGGAGCGCCAACATGTCAACTGAATTGTCGACGTAATATAAAAACTGATCGTGAAGCCAACAGACTGGAGTCTCTGTTAACAGTGACACAGACAGATCGACCTGCATTATAAAGCCTTGTGTCCTCCATCTCTTTATAGTATGTTGTACTGATGTATAAGTGTTTTCTTTAACGATGTAACCTGTGTTTAGTGATTAGAGAGATTGCTGTCAGTCATTTCAAATGTTTCCATGGAGTGGTAAGGTCATATCATGGGACATTTACATTGCAAAACTAAAAGTTGTAGTTATAAACTTGACAGGACAGGAAACTCTCCAGAAGACACAGAATTAAACTTTTAGCTTCTGAAATCAGTTGAGTGTAAGATAGGACCCAAGATGTTATAATTGTTATGTACATTTTATCAGATCACTGTAGATTCAGCACAGTAGAGTATATAAAGATAAAAGTTGATAAAAGAATATGTGACTTACAGAGAGGCTTCGTGTTGCTTTTCCACACCATGGTCAGAGTTTGCTTCCCCTCTGTGGAAAGAGAATTGGCTTGAGTGAAGTCAGGATTATCAAAAAAGAACTGAACTGTCCACCGGATGTTGGTCTCTGAGTAGGAGTAATACATGACAGTAAATGCTCTCTCACCCACAAAAGGTGTGTGACGCAGCAGCGTAGTGCAGAGGGCTGCAGCCGGTCAGATCCAGCTCATTGACCTCTGCACCCGCTCTCACCAGGGCGATCGTGCATTGACTTCTCCCGTTAGCTGCAGCATAGTGCAAAGGAGATCTGCGAGGCAAAACGGGGGACAACTGTGATATCAGGTAACACCAAAGCCAAGTTAAACTTCTTAGCTCCGTCTATTCAGCACTGCTTACCTTCCCAAATTATCTTTTACATCCAGTTCAGCAGCACTATTCAATAGCAAGTTTAGGCACTCAACATTTCTGTCACAAGAAAAAAAGGTAGATTTTAATTTGCAACCAAGTGTATCCGATCTGTGCCAGACAGTTAATGAACAAGTGTGACATCATCTGTACGATTCAGGCTCACTCTTCTCTGTTGCGTTTTTACTTGGCAGCCCTCCTGACCAGGCAAACAACAGGGATAGATTATTAGAATTAGGATTTTTTTAAAACCTTCCCCCCTTTATTCAGCAGTGTTTCAATAATTGACACCACACTTAAGTGAAGTGAAGCTATTGGCATATAATATTTAATCCTGATTTGAGAGAAATCAATTCTCAATTACTGCTGGTATTTAAAATATATATTTTTTTAACATTACATCATACGGCATCTACTGTTTATGTCAATTGACTAAAATTATCCATAATTTAAAAAGACTTTGACACACAGACCAGATAACAAGAATAAAGCTATATAAATTGAGACCAAAATCCAACTGTATTTGTAAATCACAAAAGTTAAAATAATAGTAAATAAATATAACTCTCTGTGTGTGTGTGTATGCGCATGCGCGTTAGCTCACCCTCCAGAGGCAGCTGCATGCAGGCAGGTCCTCCCGTGATCATCTAAGATGTTTATGTCGAACCCAACTGAGGACGTTTGAGACGGCATGATGTAAAACTGGCCTAAACCACACACAACCAGCAAAAACACTTTAATATGTGGAAACATTTTGAGCTGTATCGGCAATTATTTTGAAATAAAGGGAGATGATAAATGGATAAGCCTGGCTTAGTGACTAAGTAACATATTCTCACCATTAGACAGTAACTTTCGACAACAGTCTGGAAATCCGTAGAGTGCCGCCAAATGTAGTGGAAGCATCCCATGAATCCCCTGTCTTTAGACATAAAAAGGTATTATTTTTTTATTTACTTTAGTATGTGGCACAATTTTTTGCATGAAATTGGAAATGAAGTACAAAAATCAAACTTTTCTGATGTAAGTATCAACAGTAAGTTTGCAGTTCATGTCTGCCGATGTGCTTCTTAGTCAGGAAGCAGTATATTATAGGATTGTGTGTAACAATTGAGTATGTATGTATGTACGTACAGTGGGGAGAACAAGTATTTGATACACTGCTGATTTTGCAGGTTTTCCTACTTACAAAGCACATAGTGGTCTGTAATTTTTATCATAGGTACACTTCAACTGTGAGAGACGGAATCTAAAACAAAATTCCAGAAAATCATATTGTATGATTTTTAAATAATTAATTTGCATTTAATTGTGCCTATGATAAAATATGAATTATCTTGAACTTTTTGTACATGACAAGGAGCACAAATCATTGGAAGAGAAACTGATCCTCGCTGTTTGTGAGTTTCCACAATATATTGCTGTTTACTAAATAGGACATCAACTGGAGGGAATTAGCATGGCAGAGCATCCTCGCAAAACTAGATGAAGGCCCATCTGGTAAAGTGATGTCCGTCCATCCATCCATCCATCCATCCATCCATCTTCAACCGCTTATTCTGTGTACAGGGTCGCGGGGGTGCTGGAGCCTATTCCAGCTGACATTGGGCGAAAGGCGGGGTACACCCTGGACAGGTCGCCAGTCCATCGCAAGAGGTAAAGTGATGTAGCCTATAATTTTAATTTAAGTTAAATAGGCTACAGCTGTGTAGCGCACAGAAGCCGTTGCCATGGTTACTCTCAATACAGCGCCTGCCGTTTACACACGCTGCATCCAAGTAGTCTGCCGAAGCCTCCTGTAGAAAATCCTCCTTCCTGACAATTCCAGGGGGGCGGAGCTTAGCCACAACCTGTCAGGCCACACCTGAACTGATAAAAGGCCTGATGAGGCCCTGCTCAGTCCTTTCCATTTGTTTGCTGCAGCATGTGGGTTAACATGAAGCCTCGCTAATCCTTCCCAGTTGACTGTGTACTGGATGCATTACTTGAGTAAGTTATGTATATCTGCTATCGTTATTGTTTCCTTGTTGAACAGCTAATAAGTGCTTTAATTTGATTATGACCCGCTAGAGTAACTTATGCCTACTGATTGTTTTCATTTGCCTTTTAGCTGTAATCATCTGTCAGTCAACTGTTGAAGTGGGAAACTAAGGACAATAAACTGTTGAACGGCTCTCATCTCTGGTCCTCATACTTTAACTGGTGTGCCAATGCAGAAGCTCTATACATATTCCAGCTTCCACAACCGCCTCTACACCGCCCTTTCAAGATAATAACGAAAATAAAACAAAACTGCGTTAACTCGATAAATTAATTGTTGCGTTGATTAATTAAACGTGCCCAGCCCTAGTAAATTCCAAACAATTAGAGAGGAAACGACATGTCTCAGTGCAGTGGTATGAGAGCATACTTTAAGACGAAAGCAAACGGACTTACCTGGCCTTTTCAGCACCATTTGTCAGCAGAGTGCTGATCAGTAACTCCTGACCATATCTGGCAGCAATGTGAAGAGGAGCGTTTCCGTACATATCAACACAGTCAATCTCCCCACCTGTGCACAGAGGGGGAAGGAAACATAACATTAAGTGTTTCAGTTAAGGACATGCTCTGATATCTTAAGTCAGAGTATATTGTGAGGGATCAATCACGTAGTTTTTGCAATTTACATTACCATTTTGGATCAGAATCTGGGAGCCTGTGAAGCGCCCGTGCATAGCAGCCATATGCAAAGGGCTCTTCCCTTCTTTATTCTATTAAACAGAGAAAATGAAAACAATATTTGCATTTTACTAGTGCTAGGCAACTGGGCAAGATTTTCTGCGATTAATTGCATATTTATGTGCTAAATTGAATAATGAATTCTAAAGTAGTGTATTGTGCACATTTAATTTAAATTTACTACTATATACACAAGTGGACTAATGTGATTTGCAAACACTTTAAACAAATAAGGTGCTTTTTACCAGCAGTATTATTAAAAGGTATTTCTCTCTTTAATGCAAGCAAAAAAAATGTTTTGACAGCATTATTGCACTGCAATCAAAAATCTAGTTTGTAATTGTGAGTCAGAAAGTTTTGCAGGTTAAACCGTTTTGTAAGTGAGAGTTTTGCAAGTTGAAAATTGTCAAAATAAGGGATTCTATTGGTGGGTTTGACTGACCAATGGTCATGGGTTTGGCGCCGACCAGCACTCAGCTCTACCTGAGACGGCGTTGTTACATGTACAGGCTAGATGGAGGTAAGTTGATGATATGTTGCTCATTTCAACAGAAATGCTTTTAAATGTAGTATGGCATGACATTTACTCAAATAAATAGACTGGGCCTGTGCAAGTGGTAACAGTTACTTTATATCTGGCATATGTCCAGACTCCTTAGGAGTCCATGGGGTGGTGGGGATAAAGGTGGGAGTGTTATTTTTAACCATTATGAACACAAATAAATGACATAAGCCGTGACAGTCAGCTATGTTTAGGTGCAAAAAATGGGTCCTAAAGGACAAATTCAAAAGCAGTGACACTGACAACTGAAAGCAGTTCATTGCTTTGGGAGATGGACTTTCAGGCAATTAGCTACTGCACTTAAAAACATAATTGTGAAAACACTAGTTGTGAAATGAACTCCATTTTCAAATATAGCACAGGTCTGCCATATCTGATGCCAGTGTTCTTAATTATGGCATAATTTAAGCTACAAACAAATACAGCCATAACACTGTTCACTGATTGGCACCAGCCTTCCACCAACACTTTGGGTCACAGACAAAAACAGGATCTTCATGCCAGGGTGCTGGAGGTAAAGCCGGTGCAGGTCCTCCATCATGTTGACTAGCTTCACCCTGCTGACCTCCCACATGGTGCTGCCGCCAGAGTGGATAATGAAGACATCTGATGGTGCACTTCTTCGCAGGGAGGGGAAAAGAAGGGAAGAAGCCAGACCAAGAGACATCTGGCAGGGTGAAGATGCTTCCTAAGCTCTCTGGGTACCATGCTGAACATAGCTGTCACCAATGATCCAGACTGCAACTATTGGGGGAAAATTAATGAGTGTAAAAAAATACTTCTGTCACATCTAAAGGAGAAAACGTAACAATGCAGTGACACCTCAAAACATCTAGATAACAGTCTATATTTCCAATGTAATGTAGACTAACCATGTTCTGTACACAACGATATTCCGTACAAATGACCTTTTCTCGCTGAATCAATACTTCCAGGTTATACATAAACTGTAATCATAATTTCCCGCGCTTTTATTCCCGACCAAAAAAGAGACCCCCCGCCGCCGCAGCTTGTTTCAGTAAGTTTGCTAGGTGCGCCCACTGCGCTTGAAAATGGAGGGTGGCGAGCTACAGTCTAAAAAGCATCTTGGGTGGGGAGACTACTACAGCAGCGAAAATGTAAATTTAGTTTGAATGCTTCTCACAGTACTACAGTCTTTATGAAATGATTATTATGTTATCACAAATCCTTAAATATATTACATTTTGTTGAATAAATTCTTTGAAATAGGATTTTTTTTTAAAGTCAATTCTGGGCAATGACCGCCTGGCGCCACTCACACAGACAGCCAGCAAAGACGCAGCACGTCTCAACGCAGACGCTGTTTGCATGTCATCATGTGTGCAGTGATGATGTTTATATTTATAAAGGATTAAGATAAGGTAAAAAAAAAAATGCACATTGTTTGCCCTTATTCTTGTTCTTCAGAAAGATATGGTAATGTTGTTCACTATCATTTTACATGGTTCATGCTTAACTCACGTGCCTTCTAGCTTATTAAAGCAGTAATTATCTTATGTTTTAAACAAATTAAATGTTCTGACCTTTATTAATAATTTAAATAACTTCCTCTCTCTATGTTAAAATAAATTAATAACTCACATATATATAATAACGTCCATTTTCGCCATTGAAATCAAGTTATTCGGTCTGTACGGAACGTTAATCCTAATGAACATCCGTACACATGCGGAGGAGGTACTTTGCCCCACTTATCTCAAATACTATTGGTTCAAAAGACATCAATCAAAGAATAAACTGTCCAATAGGTACTCCCCCACGGAATGACCATACAAACATGCTTGTCAGGCTCTCAACAACAGCGTGGTGGTCAGTGGAGTGCAGTGAAGTGCGCGGTGTACGGGACACGGTTAGTCTACGTTGATATCAGCGGTCTACAGTCTAGTTTATGCTGTGTGACCATAAACTTCAGTTACCACAGTCACAGAAAGCTAGTTTTGCTGGATATCATGTAAAATGTGTTAACCATGAGTAGCTAACCTTAGCCTAGCTCGTCATGTCTGAGTGCACAAATGTACTGCCAGTCAAGCTAACGGTAGCTAACTGTTATACATGTCATTCTAAAAAGGAGACAGCGATAGACTCAGTCACCTTGCCAACGGTAAATATAAATAATCATTAAATCATGCCATACTACATTTAAAAGCATTTCTATTGAAATGAGCGACATAACGTAGACTTACCTCCATCTAGCCTGTACACGTTACAACGCCGTCTCCAGTAGAGCTGAGTGCTGGTCGGAGCCGTCGGAGCGAGGGGATTGTGGGCGTGGCCATGCGTTAAACGCAAACCCATGATTGCTCAGTCAAACCCACCAATAGAATCTCTTATGACCATTTTTTGACTCGCAAAATTTTTCAACTTGCAAAACTCACAATTTTTTGTGACACAAAAAAGGCCTGCTTATTTTTAATTACAAACTTGATTTTTGGCAGAGCATCCCCGCAAAACTTGATGCAGGCCTATCAGGTTAAGTAGTTAAATAGGCTATAGCTGAGTAGCGCACAGAAGCCGTTGCCATGGTTACTCTCCATAGAGCGCCTGCCGTTTCTCGCTGAGCGCTTGTCTCTGTTCACCAGAGCAAAGAGTGACCCCGCGGGGCCAAGCAACTACGTTGTGATTTTAAGACCGACATGTTCCCCAATACTAATCAGCATGCAGTGTGTAGCTATCCACTTTGCTATGCCATTTTTTCACTTGTCTTGCTTTTGTTTATTTACTTCTCCCACACACTGCATCCAGTGTAGTCTGCCGAAGCTTTGATTTGCAAGCTGATCAACATCCCACCCCTCCTGTGACCCATGGTTTCACTGTATGTGTATTCAGAGCCAATGAGCAAGGACTTTAAAAATAATAGTAATAAAAACTAAGTTAACGTGCGATAACATAATTTGTGGTGTTCATTAATTAATGAGTTAACGAGATAAAAATGCATCAAAGTGCCCAGCCCTACATTTTACATTTAATGGCCAATGACAACCAGTGATACATAATTATCCATTTCTTATTATCTTATTATTATCAATCCACTTATTCAAAACAAGCTCTTCACCTGCATGTTGACGTCAGCACCATTGTTGATGAGCAGCTCGAGACACAGCACCCCGCTGGAGGAGGCGGCAGCCAGATGCAGTGGCGTGCTGCCGTAGTGGTTGGGCTGGTTGATGTTGGCACCGCAGTTCACCAGCTCAGTGGCCACAGAGTCTTGCCCCGTGTGACAGGCCATGTGGAGTGCTGTGTTCCCAAAAACGTTGGGTTCATCGATCTGAGAGACAGAGGAGAAAAACTATTGATGAGTATGAAATGAAACCTGAAAGCATGAGAGCCTTGTTTGGCAGCCCAATAAATACTGACAGTGCTATCAGTGTTAACAGACAAGTGGCTTTGCTTATGATACCTGGATCTTTAAAGAAAAGGGAAAAAAAGTTTGAAAGATTTGGCTTGTTCAAAGGGACAGACTGGTACATGATATATTTTTACTAACTTGTGTTTTCATCAGCTGTGAAAACAGATTGATTATGTGATAAAATGACCCTGGTATCATCAGCAAAAAGCAGAGATAACACATTACTGATGAGGCAGCAGCATACAAAGCCTGGAACTCTGCAGGACACCACGGTGATCTTATATCAAACCACAACTATAGACTGCTGTGTTTTGGGAGTATCATGGATCAGGATGTTTCCTGATATCTTAATTCTTACTTGTAAGCTAAGAGAAATTTTTAAAAACCCTCTGTGGCAAAATTACCACATTTAATTAAGCACTTTTAATAATATTGTCTTTTATAGAATGCGAAGTGCATAAAAATACATAGCAGCTACAACAATTTATATAAGTTTGAGTTTTCTTAAGCAATGTGCTCACGCCACTTTACCTCCACCGCCAGTCTCAACAGATATTTGACCACGTCTAACTGTCCACTGGTAGCTGCAGCGTGGAGTGGAGTGTAACCACGTTTGTCCTTGCACGTCACATCGCCGCTGTGAGACGCCAGCAGCTTCACAACCTCCACATGTCCTGAAGAAGAGCTTAACATTTACTACAAGCATCTGCCACCACAGCACATTAGCCTCTCTTGCTGGCTGGTTTGCAAACTGTAGCACAGTTAGCATACACGCCACTTTAACACAGTAGTCATGAGATTTTGACCTTTTCAAGAAAGACTTTTCAATAGACTGAGGCTGTGTTGATGAGGCAAGCCAGCCATATATTGTTGTCATAAATCAACAGCTCAAATTTTTTGTACTAGTCTATTTATATCTTTAAGTCAGGATGAAGATCATTTTCCAAACATTCAAGCATATGAGATTCACAGCATGACCAATCAAACATCAATCGTGCAATGAGGTCACAGCCATCCAGTCAGACAGAGGTGTGAATAACATTTGAAGGCAGTGACAGCATGTTAGCAGTTTAATTGCTTCTCAGTGAAATAACATTTTGCTTTTTCCTGCAAAAATAATAATTACTGCATATGGTAGGATGTTCAATACAATATTGTCTTCAGCCACAATATACATGATATGTCTTTTTTTCAACTCCCAACAATATCCCAGAAAAGTGTCAAATTGTATGTTTTAGAGTAAAGTTATTGGCAACAACTTCTGACTTTACTGACCACCTACAGTTGTTAGAGTCAGATCTCAGTTATTTGTTTGTTGGGTATTGATTAGTTTGTTGTTTCTTATTTTATATTAGTTTGCTTTCTGACAGACATAGACATATATTGACATTCTTACTTACATTCATGTACAAGAAAGTTTTCATTCTGGGTAAAAAGTGACTAAATATTTGTGTCTCTAGGCACCACTTACCAAGGTATGCCGCCAAGTGGATTGCCTGCCTTTCCTTCTTATCTTTGGCACTCGCGTTGGCACCTTTTCTCAGGAGCAAGTTCACCATCTACAGACACAATATGAGTTTAGAGAACTGAAAAAGATCAGGAGGAGAACTTTGATAAATACCATCAACTTTACAGTTTACCTCTCCATGGCCGCTGTGCGCTGCATGATGCAGTGGTGTCCTTCCATACCTGTCGGCAACATCCAGGCTGCACACATGTGGTATCAGAGCTAAAGCGCAACCTGTAGCCCACTTTGCAGCTGCCATGTGTAAAGGTGTATGTCTAAACTTGTCCCGTGCGTTGACCTCTGCTCTGTGCTTTAGTAGCAGCTCCACAGCTCTCTGAGGATAAAGACAAAATTCAAAGAAGACAGAAATCAAACATCACAATCTGTTGGTCAAGTCCTCGGAAAAGTCCTTCTCTCCCTGTGTTTTGAAATGAGAACATACTTCATTTCTTGAGGCAGCTGCTCGATGTAAAGGAGTCAGCAAACCATGGTCCTTAGCGTTGACATTTGCCCCTGTAACCGAAAAAGCAAAGTTAGACTTTCAGTTAATCTGTACTTGTGGACTTACTGTATTAATTACTAGCAAGGTTGAATTGTAAAAAGTACAATAGTGCATTTAGTTGATAATAGGCTTTTTATTAACTATCACATATTTTAAAGTAACATAAATCGTTTTTCTACCTGAAGTAATAAGTAGGTCCAGAATGTGGACATCGCCCAAATAAGCAGCAGCATGAAGCGGTGTGCTTTGTTCTTGGTCCTGAGAGAAAAGGGGGGGGGGGGGGAATTGAACAATGTTGTTTCTTATATTCTGGCTCCAAATGTTTGCACAGTTAATGTACAATTTCAACTTTTTTTCAAACTCCCGCTATAAATGTACATATGAAACACTTTACCAAATTGACATTTTGCATCAAATTTATCCAGAAAAGTTGCTGAGCAAACCAAAAACCTACACCAATCTGAATTTACATGGCAAGTAGCCTGCAGCAGAGATACAAGCTCAATATACATCTTAACATTTAAGCCAAAATATATTGCATGCAACACAACTTGATACAAAAAAGCAACATGACTACTGAGTTAATGTGGGATAGCATTACCAGTGAATTGACCTCTTCATTATGGTTCAACAAAAATGTCACTTCTTCTGCATTTCGGCTGAATATCGCCTGGACCATTGGAGACTGAAAGAGAGATTTGAGATGGAAAGCAGATAAAGACTGACATGAAAATGAAAAACATTAAAATTATATTAAAATTAAATGCAGTTATTTTTTTCCCCAAGATAATATTTTATTTTTATTTTTTGTTTGAAAGCTTTCTTTAGCACACTTGTTTAAATCTACCGGGACAAACATTTATGACTCTGCTGAGAAGCCGTTACATGTCTGACTAAAGAGTAAGTTAGAATTTATTCTCTGTGTATTACCAGGAATAATGTCAATGATTAAATTCACTTGAGAAAAACTATGCTGATAGGTTAAAATTATCACGTAAAACTCAAAGCATTTTTATTGTATTGGCATTTATTTGACTGAAGAATACAAGTAGCCTTTACTTGTTTAGATCATGCAAAACTCCCAGCACTTTTTGTGAGTGTTTAGGATTTATCTTGGAACATTTAAAAACGACCCACCAACATTTATCTAACACAGATTAAAGGGTAAGCAAACTTATCTGTGCAGTAACGTTAGAGAAATGTGGATCCATTTAAAGATTAAAATGACTGTTTAGCAATGTTTGGACTTCATCTACCAAGGAGCCCAGTGACCCTAATGAACGGGCCTAGGTGCATTACACAATGGAAACATCAACATCATCGAACTGAAACCTCGTCTCGTTTTGCAGGGAAAGAGATTTGTGACATTAACCAGCCTTGTAGCAAACTTTTCTCGATATGTCGCTAACATGACTAGCCAGCTGTTAGCAGTTTAGGTATATCTGTTAGTTTACTAGTTCACGTTAAGTTCGACAACAGGAAAAGCTTGATTTACTACCTGGTCCTTGATAATTCTTAACTCCATGTCCCAATCACTCTGGAAGCTCCTTCATTGAGACTGTAAAGTTGACTACATGTCACTCTGCTGCAGCTAGTTATCCTAGCTTTAGCTTAGTAAGCTACTGTGATATGTGTACACCATTGACAGAATATCGCGAGAGCTGTGAAAGAAACGTGATTTGGAAGCCGGTATTTTACGTCATGTCAATCATTTTAATTTGTCAGATTTTTCTGCTTGTAATAACGATTATCAGTATGGATTTACTTTATTTGGATTTTGAAGATATATTTATTGAATACCTCTAGATTTTACTTTATTGTGAGCCTGACTCCATAAATTCGTAAATTCAACAAAGACTATAAACTTGTGTGTTAATTCATAAAAATCTAATCCGGGCTCAACTGGAAAACCTGTAGGCAACCCATGGCAAAAACAAACGGTTAGAGCCAGTAGTAGGAAGTATCTAAGTACATTTACTCAAGTACTGTATTTAAGTTCAAATTTGAGATAGTAAGTACCATGTTATGCTACTTTATACTCCTTTACAACTCAGAGGGATATATTGTACTTTTCACTACAGTACATTCATTTGAAGGCTTCAGTTGCTACTTTGCAAATGAAGATTTTAAAACATATGATGATCATATAAAATATAATGCATTTTTATAGATTAAACTACCAAACTGTATACATATCAGTAATTTAAATTAACCCCACAGTAAACTATGGCACGCCGTTTCAACCTTAATTCCTTAAAACGTACTAGTCGCTATTTATAAACTTCTACTACTTATTTATTAGTCACTAGCCTGACTATTCTCATTTTACTAGTAACTAGTAACTAATTGCACATTTTTGCCATTGAAATCTACAGTATGTTCCTCAGTTCAGATATCACCTTTTCATTAGTTATTAGTGGCCTAACTATTCTCGTTTTACTAGTAACAATTGATTAAATACTAGTACTTATGGGTTAGTATTTAATCAATACAATAGTAACTGGGAACTATTGGAATAGTTCCTAGTTACTATTTAAATTTTACTAGTATCTATTATTTAGATACTAGTGCTTATTTTTTAGTTACTAGTAACTGTTCCATTCTTAATCAACAAGCCATTTTCCTAGTCATTAACGATTGACAAGTACCAAAACAAAAAATTACCAGTAAGAATGAAAATGTTACTAGTCGTACCTTTTAGAATAGTTAATAGTAACTAATCTGAACTGCAGAGCCAGGTAGATTTCAATGACAAAAAGTGCCATTAGTTAGTAACTAAAAGACATACTAACTAATGGAATAGTTACTAAGTATTTAATCCATTGTTACTAGTAAAACGAGAATAGTCACTAGTAATTACTATAATAGTTACTACTAACTAATAAAAAAGTACTAGTAGCTTTTAAATTGTGACTAGTACGTTTTAAGGAATAAATTGACAGCTTGCCATAGTTAACTGCGACTTACACATTAATGCATCCGTAATAATAATCCAGTAGTAAAATATAATATTACACTCACAAAGCCATTTTCCTGCATTGAATAATTTTTACTTTAAAGTTCATTTGCTGATACTGTAGTACCCAGCTGTACCAAAGATGCTCTGAACCGTCTCTGATTGAACAAGGACCGTTGGCACCTCTGGCACCGCCTAGCAGATTAAATGCAGGGCATCACTTGGCATGTTTCACCCATTGACCAATCAGAACAGGCAAGTTTTACTGCACATGCGCCGTGAGTCGTGAATTTACAGTTGACATGGAATGATACGACTTTACCGGAATTTTAGCTTGATAACGTGCAACTTAGCTACCTTCACATCAACACAGATGGTATCAGTTTAAAAGCAGCTTTAATCATCAAAACCGAGGTCATTGTACCCCCCCATTAAGTATACCCAGGTAAGAGCGTTTTCATACTTTGATAAGGGAAACGTTAGCAGCTCCACCAGCTAACATATCATGGAAACTTGTTAGCTTGATCACACACAGTAACAGTAGCTACAGTGTAAGCGCGGTTTATAGTACCGGGGCTCTGGTTCACATATCTAAAGGGTTAATTAGCCGGCAGGATTTGTTTCTTTTTAGCTAGTTGGTCAAACTGCAGCCACATCACGATGTAGCTAAGTTTCCAGGCCAAGAGGTCAAACGTTTTAAGTTGTGGTTAGCTCTTTACTACTACTAAGTTACTTACCACTTCCTCTGGGAGTTTGTACAATTCAGTGACATTCTTTCAGTATTACAAGAGCGACTTGTACTGACATTTCATTGCCGTGAAACTGCACTCTGACTGAATACACGGGTACACTTAAAAAGATCCAGCCTTTAACAGAATATACTCCAGTAATTAGTTGTGAACCGTAAAATCAACTTGTTGATTCACGTGTCAAAGCTGGAAATCAGAGCATCATCCTGAATAGATGAAGCGATCATATGACTGCTGAGTGTATATTTGAGTGTGCATTACAGTTGTTCAAATTCACTATATATATTTGATACATATTTGAGATGTACAATATCACAGAAATTACATTCCAGAGTACCATTTTCTTTACAGATTAGCAGGCAGTTTTTACACATGCCTTCACTGTAATTCACTAGACCTTCAGATATCATGTTTGCTTACTTTTCACAGTGGCTGGTAAAGTAGGAACATTTATTGTCAGACCAGATGGTATGGTAATGTTCTTCCATGGGGAGTCAGAGAGAAGAACTACAGTTTAGGTTTGTGGCACAATATCACATGCTTTGAAAATGAAAAGCAGCTTAAAGGTTCATAACTCTTTTTTGTTGCTGGTGTTTTGACCCATTACAACTGCTTCCCTTTCTTTACGCACTTTGCAGGTAGGTGATATTGTGCTGGAAACCCAAACTCTACTACAGTAAGGTAATTGACAGCCAAAGCCTAAATTAACTAAATTTCCTCCTCTGTCAGTTTGTCAGTGGAGTTAAAGGTGTTGGTGAAATGTAGCCTATTCACCACATACAGGAAGTAATGAATACAGAAAATGTGATGGGAGGGAAATCAAATCACAGGAATGTTGGAGGCAAAAAGTAATGTAACATTTATCCCTATGATTTATCCTTATACAATACTCACTATACAGTGGAGAAAAAGTGTGGTCCTTGAGTGCAACAGTAAACGGTCTTTACATGCATAATTGTGTATTACACATGTACTTGCAACCACTTCTCAAATAGCTTGAATCTGCCTATACATGTTACCTTTGTAATGGCTACATCTAGTCACTGCTCTGTGACTATGTGTGAAGTCAGTTTTAAATGATAAATATGCCACTGATATGCCAAATCTTTGATAAACATATATAAAGCAAAATAAATATTGGATTTCACTTGTACCACATTTTAAAGCCTCATTATGGCTTATATTTTTTATGGTTGGACCTGAAGCTGGGTAACATAGAAAGCTTATATGGCTAAATGTCAACACAGGTACGCATTAATGATTCAGTTGATAGGGCTGTGTGTGTGAGGTTCTTAAATATTTGATTTCCCGACTCTTCTTTTGACCAACATAGCCGCTAAATGTCCATTGTGTTAAACAGAGTTGATTTGGCCTTGGGCATGAAAGATCTGATGTTTTTGGTCAGTTGAAAATGTATTTTTTCTTTTGCTTCGTTAGAAATTGTCGCTGGCAACAACACCATCAGCTAATGCTTCATTATTAATTCAGGAGGAGATTTTAGTTTGTCCTGTAGGATTCTTGCTTAACATTTAGAATCAGATTTCTTTGATGTTTTAATTTGGCATTACTGTTTTGATATGCAAGGGCCCTAATTCAAGGGGTGTAGTTTGTCAGTTTGGGAGTTGTCATAGATTTAGTGATTGTAAAAACTGTTCTGCGCAGATTAGGCCTCTATGCCGTTTGATGAGGCCGAGGCTTTTAGGGGCAAGTCAGATGAATGGATGACAAATTGATGTGGTTTCTAACTACACTTACCACTTTTCTTTTTAGATCTCCAAGCTTGGCCAGTCCAACTTTACAACATTTGGTAAAGTCAAAATTAATCATGTAGTTGATGATGCAAGTTTCCTATATGAACATCATACTGGTACTCATACTCATCTGAACATTGTTTATGTATTCAATTTGACCAAATTCTCAGATATTCTGAATCTCTTTAAGCACATACACATGATTACCCATGAAATTTGACAAGATTAGTGCTGACACATTAAAAGACAGTAACGCAATCCAGGACTGAAATCAAGGTCACAGAACAAAACATACTAGAGTGCGCAGGGAAAGATGAATTATGTCTTTATGTTGAACCCTGCAACACGGTAGAAGGCCGACTGAATAAAGTGTTATTAATAGAAGGGTCACAGGGATGAGACAGTCATGGTGGTGTGAGAGAGCACATGATCGTTTGGAGATTTCAGAGAGTTGTTTGGACTTGATTGATTTTGGGGGAAATGATTGGAGCAAACCGATGCACGTGGACCTCCCTCCATCATCATGTATGCCTGCAAACATGTCAGTAGTATTAAACTGTAGGATCATTTATATTAGATTTGTATCGTATGATTTTAGCGGTCTTAATAATACACTAGTGGCAGAAATAATTTGACTGCTGACTGTAGCCACATGAGTACACACGACAAATAGGTCAAGGTCTTTAAAAGATGCAGAAAACTGAAGCACCCTGCAGCCAAGTAACAAGTAAGATCTGGCCCCCAAGACAATGTCAGAAACATAAAATGTTTAAAGAAGTAAATTAAAAAGTATTTAGCGAGCAGCTCCTAACTGCAACTTGTTAACGTAAGCATTTCAGCTATGACAAATAACACTGACTTGTCTGAAGCCAAAATGTTTGCGTCTAAAACTAAAAGAAGGAGCAGAGACGTTTTGAAGTTTGAAGTGCACAGTGTAATTTAATGCTGCTGCTTCCTCTCGTCTGCAGTGGGAAAGCAGCCATTTTTCAGGAATACAAGCAGAAGCAGAATTGCTCTGGTAACAATGGAAAGGAAAAAAACATATTCAGTTAAATTTAAATCATTTAGTAAACCTTATGTGGAAAGGTTGATTCAGTTTGACATGATGTTTTGGGGTTATATGTGGTTGTAAGAAATAACTAACATTTAGCTGGTAACTTGTGTTATTACTCAACGTCTAACATTAAGTAAATTGTTGCTGCCGAGCAAAGTAACAAGGAGCTTATCACTTTGTCAGTGCTAATTACTCCGAGCACGTGTTCAGCCAGAGGAAGTGGCACTCGGATGGAAACCTTGACTTGTGGGAAAGGTACTCTGCTGCCTCAGCTTGACTTTTGCCTCATATGATCCCATAATCATGTGCTTTCACAGAGTAAACCGGACACTCTCTGTGTCAGGGAACAGGGTGTTATAAATCACGGTGGTTTGGCTGGGCTGAGGTTTTGTATTTTATTTTCTGGATGAAGCTAAGAAGTACTAGTGTTGTGGAGTGTGCATGAAGGAAGTGGAAGTGAAACTCTGGTGCCGTGCTGGTGGTCAACTCAAGATTTTCTGTAAAATGTTCTCAATAATATAGTGACCTTTTCATAATATGCTTAGTCATTATTATGACTCGAGAATTTTCATGTTGTTGATTTCTGTTAAAGGGGAAAGGAGAACAAAATGTTGCACAGTCACCCCTCGTGTTGAGGTGGTTGTGGAAAAGTGTGAAGTTTTTTTGGCAATCCAACAAAGGAACACAAAACCACCAGTCTTGTTAACTCAATACTTGGTATGATAATTACTGTTTTACCCTCAACAGTCATGTCTTTCATGCTCCTTCAGATTAAGTAACTGTTGTTGTCTTTTTCCAGGGAGGCTGATATTCATCCCTCAAGTTCCTAGGGATGAAAGCAGAGCAAGACGGAGACCTCCTTGAAGGTAACTGCTTTATATAACAGAAACACGACCTTCCCGTTACAGACAAACCCACCATGTTATCTTACGTTAAACATTCTGGGCATTTGATTAAGGCTGCAATACACAGTCTCTGTCAGGGGGCAGTAAAACAATATTTTACTTAAGTATATTTCTTCATGCGTGCACGTAACCCCAGCTCCATAAACTCAGAAACTCATGCTCTTGACAACATGTTAACAACATATTTTCTTTAGTCTTGATCCTGGAATATGTTTGGTTTAGTCATTTTGCTGCCAATTTGAAAATGTAAATGCTGTTAATTCTCATTGCTTTGTTTGTGAACTTTATTACTGCTTGGGTGATGTTGTGTGATTTGTTGAAGGGCTAAAGGGCAGGTCACTGTGCATATGCTGGGGTGTGTGTTCTTTACTTCTCTGTCTTCGCGGGTCATTTTTAGAGGCATGATGTCAGAAATTCATTGTGACATCTAGTGACAAAAAAAGGGATGATAAAGGCCGAGTCATAAAAAAGCGTAGTCCTTGTGAGGGAACAGTGGACTTTAAGACCTGCAGTGAGTTGGAGATGAAGGGAGGGATGAATGAAGCGTCCAATCTCAGTGAGTAGTACGCAGTGTTTACTGGTTTACTAAATAAATACCACAGATGAGTGTTGCTACAGTTTTTGTATGAGATTTTAGTTTTGTTTAGACACTGACTGGTCTTTTGTATGTAATCTTTTTTTCTATTACAGGGTGTTTATATACGTGTAATTTAAAGTCCTAAACTAAATCACTTATGTAGCAGTTTTGAAATCACTGAATTGCTTTTAGGTTATCAGCTTTGAGTTTTTTACAGTTGTTGTTTCTGGTACAAATGGCTTAATCTTAAGTATATGTGCCTTCTTTAATAAACCTCATGTGATACTCTGACTTAAACAATTTCCTCAGTGAAGAATGAATAAAGCTCTGGTTTGTGCTCTGAAAAGTTATTTAAGAAAATTCTACCTGCTCTATGCTCAGACATCACTGGCGTTTCTTTAGAAAGGAAAATATAAAACATTCCACATTTACCTGGTTGGCAAGTTAAGTTTGAATGTTGCTGTAAAATTCTTTTAAAAAGCCCAAACTAGTAAAACTTAAACATCATTGAATCACGTTGGGCGATTTTAAGGAAATATTTTTCTGTTTTGTTTTCCTTTTTTTTTTAAAGTGGAGAGTTTGGTTATGGAGTTTTTTGAAAAGCATCAAGTGACACAAATGCTGTTGAAAATTATTATCCTTGTAGCACAGCAGATCCCTAGAAATCCTTCTTTATTTGTATGATATCAAAGAGTTTTATGGGGCAGTACATTTTCTTTTTGCATTTTTGCACTTTCGGTTCTCCAATCAACATACATACATACATTTAAGGTGCCTTAATACAAAAGATCACTCAGATCATGTTCTATGGCCAACTGCACATTGTTATTGTGCCACTTCCCCAAATCTCAGCAATTGAACTGGTGAGTGAAAAGTTGTAACCAATCAGAGCTACAAAAATGAGCTTCAGGTTAGCATGAAGTGTGTTAGCAGCTGATGGAAAGATGCCGTAGTGTTACAGCATGGATAACGTCTTCTTTGTCTATGTTAGTCTCACTCTTCTTTCGTCCCTCCGTTTGTCTTCCCTGTGGTTTTGTTAGAGGACTCCGCTCAGGAGAATGGAGTCCAGACGAACCAGTACAGCGCCATCTCTCCTCCTTCCTCACCTGTGGCCCAGGACGAACCCTTCTCCACATACTTTGAAGATAAAGTGGCCATTCCCGAGACTGGCAATCAGGTAATGTCTCACAGACACCATTTCATGTAAAATAAGCAGCAAAACCGAAGCTCGATTATCAGTTTGAAAGATTAAGCATTGTTTTTCCAAATATACTTTTCCCTTGTTGGACAGTTTATTACCACGTGTTGTTTGTGGGAAGCAAAACCTATTTTATTCTTATTTATGAAATTACAACATCACCATTAGTAGTAATATTCTACTGTCCTTTTATTCAGATATTCAGTTTCCGTAAACTCTGGGCCTTCACTGGACCAGGTTTTTTGATGAGCATTGCCTATTTGGATCCAGGGAACATCGAGTCTGACCTGCAGTCTGGAGCTAAAGCTGGCTTTAAGGTGATATATAAAATTATTAATCTTTACAATCAAGCAAAACATGCTTGTGGCCTGGCAGTTAACTTTACTGGGTAACGGGTGTGGATTTAGGAAAAAATGTGACCATAATACAGTATCATCTTGAGTGGTATGTGTTTTAGCTCTTTTATTTTTTCACTCTATATTTGAGGAAGTGATTCCACAGGTTTCTGTTGTTGTCTTCACTCAAATACTTGCCTTCTTCCTTTTTTCGTAAAAGTGTCATTATTATATTTTGAAGGCAAAGTGGCCAACCTTCTAGTCATATTTTGTTTGTTTCTTGCTCAATGCAGCTTCTTTTTGTGGAAGTAACACATGACGAGCTGCATCAATACATTTTTTCTAAGCAAAGGCATCTACTGCATCATAAATGCAATGGGTTGTGGGCATTAATTGTCAATGTATTATTAAAAAGAAATACCACTTTTGAGCTTTTATTTTAATAAAGACGTGACTTATCCTCATTTTGTCTTTCCTTCTCAGCTCCTATGGGTGCTCCTTGGAGCCACCATCATCGGGCTGCTGTTGCAAAGGTTAGCTGCACGCCTCGGGGTCGTCACTGGGATGCACCTGGCTGAAGTCTGCAACCGCCAGTATCCCACAGTAAGCACTCGTTACACATCTCAACTTCCCTTTTCTTGTTATACATTAAGGTGTTTTAAAGCGTACATTAACACTTTAAAACACTAAAGTCGCACAACCACACAAACAAACTAATCAATTGAAGCCGCGGTAGACCAGAGAGGTAAAATAAGGGAGTCTGGTGGCTTTGACAAGAGCGATATAGCAACTGTTTCTGTTTAAACAAAAAGGAGTTTAGAAATTTTGAAAAAGGTCTGCCTTTGTAGGGATCATTTCTACAATGTTGTCAGAAACTTATAATAACAATCTGAGCGTGTCACTGGCAAAACAAGCACTTTAGTGGATGCACTTTGAAGAGGCGCAACTGCCCACAAGGATTATGTTGCAGCCCTGTTTTGCTGCTGCCGACTGACTACTTTCAAAAAATGTGAATTCGTCACATAGACACAAAAACATGGGAAAATAGGGTCCAGGGAAAAAATACCGTAAATATTGGTGAATAACTCATGTGAACTACAGGTATGCTGTGGTCAAAGACGAGAAGCCAACATTAGATATGAGATTCAGTAAAGTTCTGAAGCGATGATTGAACTCTGCTCACTGATATAATCTGTCTTTCCTTTTCAGGTTCCTCGGATCATCCTTTGGTTCATGGTGGAACTGGCAATTATTGGGTCAGACATGCAGGAGGTCATTGGCTGTGCCATAGCCCTCAACCTTCTCTCTGTGGGCAGGTAACTTCTTTACTGCTTGTCCATGAAAAGTGACTGCAAACATGATTTACCAAGAGTATATTTCTGTAATGGTGAGGAATTGTTGTCTTTTTTTCTTTCTCCTCCAGGATTCCACTGTGGGCAGGAGTCATCATCACCATCACAGACACGTTTGTGTTCCTCTTTCTAGATAAATACGGTATGGATACACAATCGCTTACTTTACTAATCGATGTCTAAAACGCTGTGTATCCCTGTGTTGATAGTATATATGTTGTTTGTATTTCCTTGCAGGCCTGAGGAAACTTGAAGCTTTCTTTGGCTTTCTTATCACCGTAATGGCTCTTAGCTTTGGTTACGAGGTAAAAGACTTTTAAAGTGTCCAATATAATTGTGCTTGTTGGCAACTGACAGAGTTTTTGCCAAGACGTTCACGGCACCATGACCATGTTTGACTCTGTGCTGCCCGTCTGTAGTATGTTGTGGTAAAGCCAAACCAGGGGGAACTGCTGAAGGGGATGTTCATGCCTTACTGTACCGACTGTGGGCCGGTGCAGATGGAGCAGGCAGTGGGGATCATAGGAGCTGTCATCATGCCCCACAACATCTACTTGCACTCAGCACTGGTCAAGGTTAGAGCATGTTTGTTGTCATATTCAGATTAGCAAGACTAAAAAGTAAAGCTTAAAGAAACAACATGTTGGAATGAGAATTTTCTAGTGTAACGTTAATTTTATTTCTTTTGTTAAACGTAATATAGTTAGTGAAGGGTTTTTATTACAGATGTGGAACATAAATTTTATGACAGTGAACCTAGGAGAACATAGGACTTTAGATATGTGATTGGTTGGCCTGCAGAACATTTCTAAATAAATGTTTATGTGGATTTTACTGCTTAAATTACATTTACATTTAGCTGACGCTTTTATCCAAAGCAACTTACAATTGCTATACATGTCAGAGGTCGCACGCCTCTGGAGCAACTAGGGGTTCAGTGTCTTGCTCAGGGACACAATGGTGGATGGGTCACAGTGGGAATCGAACCCCGGTCTCCCACACCAAAGGCTCCTATCAATCATTTTTCTCAGCTATATTTCTTATACAGCTTTGAAATGTTACAGTTAATTATTGCATATTTGTCAGTGTTTCACACACTACAAAGCATTTTAAAATATTCTTGAAGCAGATCTTGGGTGTTTTGATGAAAGTTGAGCGTTATTCTGTTTTTTCCCCCTTATGTACCAGTCTCGGGACATTGATCGCAAAAATAAGAAGGAAATAAAGGAAGCCAACAAGTACTACTTCATTGAGTCAACTATCGCTCTCTTTGTCTCCTTCCTCATCAACGTCTTTGTCGTAGCTGTCTTCGCTGAGGCCTTCTACAATAAAACCAATATGGAAGTGGTGCGTATACATTAAAAGAATCCTTTCCTGTTTTCCAAGTACTGCTGAAGCTGGTGTTCTGATTGAAACACAGTGGCATAATAATAACACACAGTTTTGAGAGTAACAAGTTGTGGCTCACCATGTGTTTGTGTCTCTGGTTGCAGAATAACTTGTGCAATGCAACCGGCAGCCCTCACACAGATCTCTTCCCTCTCAACAATGGCACACTGGAGGTGGACATCTACAAAGGAGTAAGTGTGGTCATCATTACAACAAAAAACATTTATGATGCTTATAAAACGATCAAGAGGAAGATTCAATTCTGATTGGGGAGATGGATGGCATTATTATTAAATAACCATCTCTCTGTCTCTTTTAAGGGGTGGATAGATTAATGATTGATGGATCATTTCTTTCTGTTATGTCTGTTTGTTCAGGGAGTGGTCCTGGGCTGTTTCTTTGGTCCTGCAGCCCTCTATATCTGGGCAATAGGGATCCTGGCAGCTGGACAGAGTTCCACCATGACAGGCACTTACTCTGGGCAGTTTGTTATGGAGGTAAGAAATACTGTTGGTTATATACCTGGAAATGGGTAAAAAAAAGAAGAGTACATGCTGAAGTTTAAACTTTCATGTTATTTAAGGGTTTCCTGAACCTACGGTGGTCCCGGTTTGCCAGGGTGCTGCTGACCCGCTCCATCGCCATCACGCCTACACTGCTGGTAGCCATTTTTCAGGATGTTCAGCATCTGACAGGGATGAATGACTTCCTCAACGTGCTTCAAAGCATGCAGGTCAGATCGAATCATTTAAGAAAGCCATCACAATTAATTCTGTCAAAATAATTCTTTAACGTTAACCCACTCTTGTGCAATTGCTGTTCTTGTTTAGTACGTGATCCTTTCAAAAATTCAGTATGTCTTCTTTTTCCGCTCAACAGCTTCCTTTTGCTTTGATCCCTATTCTGACCTTCACCAGTCTGACGTCCATAATGAACGACTTTGCAAACGGATTGTGAGTGAAATGTTTTTTTTATCATTCATTTCTTCACTCTGCAGTAATTTCTATTACTTGGTTGTAACAGTAAGTATTCTATTGTTTATTGACAGGATAATTACCTAAATCAGTGAGGCTTTCACTCCTGTCAGCCTTTGTCTGTCTGTCAGCAGTGTGTTTGAGACATAAATAACTAGCACATGTCAAACAAAAAGAGAAAAAACACTTTCATTAGCAGCACAGTCCTCAAAGCCACAGCTTCTACTTCCACTGCAAGATAGCTCAAAATTTAGGAGACAGATTAGACTAAGGCAGAGGAACAAGTCCACCATCAGACATTTTTCTCAGCCAAATATGAAACTAACCGACAGAATCGTAACTCATTTTTCAGGTTTTAGGAACAAAGTTGATTCAACTTGAAACTGAGGATGTGAAAGGCATGATTTCTTTTAGTGTTGACAGCCAGTTGGTGATTTTGTTGACGTGGATGTCTGTGTTTAGTTATTGATTGACAAATAAAATACAACTTGTTTGCTCAAGGTCCTCACAGTGACTCTGTTCCAGATGAGGTTACTTTAAACTGCAATGTTTACTAAATATTCCTCCTTTTTACGACACATAGACAGGTCATTTAGTTGTTTATGAACGCAACAGTCCAGGGCAGTCAAGAGTGAGTTACGCAAACTAGGAATTTACTCAGGAGTGTGACTGTTAGAAGACAGTATATACAGGAACAGATATTATTTCTCAATGGTCTAAAAAAACTTTTTGTTTCTTTAGGGTGTGGAAGATTTCCGGAGGCATCGTCATCCTGATGGTTTGCGCAATCAACATGTACTTTGTGGTGGTTTATGTGACGGCGCTGAACAGTGTGCTGCTCTACGTTCTTGCTGCTCTGCTCTCTGTAGCCTATCTGTGCTTTGTAGGCTACCTGGTGAGTTAGGTCACTGCAACATTACACACACTCCTCAGACACTTTTTTGGCTGTAGTGATATGACATTTTGTAACCTTTTTTAATGTGGACAATGTTTGTTTAAACTTGTAACTAAGTTTAAATCTTATTTAATATATTTGTCTCAGTCTGTCTACGGACGTATTGCTCTTTAATAGCTTTCTTTCTTTTTACCTGATTTTACCAATAACCACAATGTAAGAAAATACTTTAATGTACTTAAAACACTTTAAATGCTATTCTTCATATTCAAATTTCAAATTATTATTATATTATTATGTGTGAGCAGCAACAAAAGTAATTTAATTAAATCAAATTAAAATCAAACTGATAAACCAGTTTCACAAATCTTTAATGTGTTTGAACTTCATACTTAACAAGGGTCCAGTGATCCAAGGTTAAAGGCACAATTCAGCTTTGTGGCAAAGTCAGTGCTACAATAAGCACAGTTAGTCAGATTTTAAGCTGTTTTTATCTGACCAGTATAATCAATAAAATTACAAAAACTATGTAAAAAATTTCTGGATTCAAATGCATCAAATATTCCTTGTTTGCATGATTTCAATGTTAGAGTAAACATAGGGTTAAATCAGAAAATGGACTGTGTCAGAGTTAGTATTTAAGTCTTCTGTCTCACCATTGTTTTAGTGATAACAACATACTATTTCATGCAGAAGTGTGCACAAACCCGGTCGTGTCCTGACTTCTCTCTCTGTCTGCAGGCATGGTACTGTTTGGTTGCGTTGGGGGTTTCCTGCCTGGACTTTGGCAGCAGGGTAAGCTATCCACCTGCTGTGTTCATAGAGGAGCCGTCTGAGTACGACTCCTAGAGCTGAACAGGAGCACTAACCACCAGCATTCCTCTTTCCTCTTGGAGACACTGAGCCCTGTACACCACCAGGACTTTTATAGATCATGTAGGGTCTTGAAAGAACATGTTCTGCTAATGTCACATGTTTGTTTTGTGTTGGGCTGGGTATCAGAATTTGGTGCTTTTTAGGTATTCACTGAACCAGATTAATACTAACCAGCACAGAAAATTCAATGTCAGTGTTTGATGAAATATTCGTACATCTGTTGACAAATCAGTAATCGTTAAGATCCTCAAAGTGATTGTGACATGATGATTAACACAATTATCTGTATCTAATTTTTAGAAAAATAGCAGCTTTTATTGTATTTTCACCCCATCTTTATGAAAAGACATTATCAACAGCCTCTGTGTTTTAATATACTTTAAATACCATGAGGAGGCTGGCGGACGAAGAAGTTAAAAGTTTCTACACAGGAGTTCTGATGATTTTAGGCTTCACCTAACAAGAGCATGTGTTTTGCTTTTATGTAAACTACAGTTCCTAAAATTCGTAAAAAAAACCAAGCTTGGCGTTTTGCTGCCTGTGGGAGGAGCATTGCAGCACAGAGGTAGCCTGTAATATTGCCACAATAAAACCCAATTTTATTTTGGACTAAATAACCTCAAAACTACAGAATTCACACAATTCAAATAATAATTTTCACATTTCTGATCACAAAAATATAACATACATGACATGAAAGATGTCATTTTTGCAATACAGCAATAATAGCTCATGTTTTTTCTGCCCAATGTTCTGTTGAGGTTACACTGTTATATGTTCTCAAAAATCAAACCAATATAAGCATGCCTGACTTATTTCTGCCTTGTTTCTGTTAAATAAGAGCTGATCTAATTAGCTACCTAAAGTATTAAGTATTGATTGATTCCCTTGTTCTCTAACAAGGCTTGATATGTACCAATGCTAGCTGCCTCATGCACTCTGCTCTCCGTGAGCCCTCTTACCTTGATAATGTCAACCTCCAGTGTCTTGATGGAAGAAGAAGCAGCTTATTCCATCATAATTTCCACTACCTCAACATCCTCCATTATCTCATCTCAGTGTACCGTCTCTGTAGCAGTATTATTCAGTTATGCATCTAACGTTTCATTTCCGCTAACTATTTTTAAAACAATATAGTCGTGACATAATTCACTGACAAATTCATTCAATGATACTACCTGTATCAAAAATCACCAAATGATATCCAGCCTCAATTGTGTGAGGGGGGAAAAAAACATGTCAAAGTAGCTTAAGTGGCAAGTTTCAGTATCGTGCATAAATTATGCGTATACTGTACTTTGTCTTTGTGAGTTCAGAGTGGACATCTGGTCATTACAACCAAGTTTGTGAATCAAGGATGTTTTGTTTTTTGGTTTGTTTTTCTGTAAATATGAGCCTTGGATTGTAAAATCAGACTTGACTGAAAACTGGCTTGAATGGAGGAAGTCCACCTGTTCATTTACAAATTGTCTGGGGCTGTCTGATGAAAACCATAGTTTTAATGTGACCAAGAGCCAACTGGTTCTTAAAATTAATTCCAGAGTGCCCTTGGACCTGGATATATTAGTTGACGGTAGTACTGCACTGCACCTTTAATATTTTACTCATGATTCAGATATGCATTGCAGTTTCTGTTCAGCCTGATCAAAACTTCTCGATTCAAACATGTGGAACTTTATATGACTGCAGCCTCAACTTCAGAGCCTCTTTTAGTGCCTAAATAATCAGGATGCGAGTGAAATGAAAGAAAATAAGTTTGCGGCACTGTGCAGGAGTTGTTCCAATCCTCCACATTTTAATTCAGTTTTGTTTGTCTGTTGGTGAAGGCTTCAGAAGTTAAGGATTATAGAAATGTATAATTTCATTACAATACATGTGGTTAATTTTAGAAACGAAAACAGACTTATTTATACTGCTATGCAGAGAAAGAAAGGAACTGCTCATGTGGCAGCTTAAGAATAATGTAATTGTCATGACAAAGCTGTGTTTAAAGGACAACTGGAAACACAAGTTTTTTTTAAAAAGAGTCAAAACAAGTACAGAAGAAGTTTATTTATATCGATCCAAATCAGACGTTTGTAGTGTATGTTTGTAGTATCTTTAGACCCTCGAAAGCAGTCATTTTGTGAATTAAAGTCCAAAAACAACTTTTTTTTAGCAGATTAATTTAAATGTTAATTAAGCTATGGTGTGTCCAGCGCTCTACACTGATTCATTTAGGACATCCTAATGGGTGTGAAAAAGTTTGTTCTGTTTCCTTCAGAAATGTTTGTTCTCCCTTCTAAACAGGGTTGGTTTATTTTTTAAATGTAATCTTTTCACCAAAAATAAAACTATTCATATTTACTCTAGAAGTCCACTGGGCTGCAGACTAGTTTGCAGGTCTGAATAAAGACTGTTTTACTAAAACAACAGACACATTTAATAAAGCAACGCAAAGAGAATTAGAACTTTATACAGGGTCGTGGGGGGCTGGAGCCAATCCTAGCTGACATCGGGCGAAAGGCGGGGTACACCCTGGACAGGTCGCCAATCCATCGCAGGGCCACACATAGACAAACAACCAGTCCCAGAATTAGAACTTTTTTAGGAAAAATTTATGTTTCGTATTTTAAAGCTAGGCTGGGCAATGTTGAGAAACTAGCCAGCGGCAGCTAGATTTTGAAACTATCTAACCGATAAAATCCCACCCCTCCCTTCAGGTCTCCCTCCAAAGCGACTCCCCAAACCACATTTTCACGTGCAGTGAGTGCACGGGCAGAGTGAGTGCAGGTAGACACAGCGCAGGTAGGCCAGTGCTTATTATAGTCCTGCGACAGTCACAGATACCAGAATCAGAATCAGCTTTATTCGCCAGGTAGTGTACACATACAAGGAATTTTACTCTGGCTTGCACAATGCTCATGATGTGCTTATTTATACAATAATACAGTTAAACAATAATACCTTAATAAAATCAAACACAGGCTACAGTATAGAGGTCACGTATACACACTATAAACACAACAAAATAGACAGATTGAGACAATAGTGCAATGAGCAGAGTGCAAAGGATGCAGGAGTAAATTATTATTACCATTACCATTACCAGGATACAGGATTGATTTACTTAGCTTCTTTATTTAATGGGGTTGATTTAATGCTATCATCACTGCACTGTAAATTTCTCTGGAGGTGCAGATCCATGTAAGATGTACGTATTAAGCAATAAGAGCACTGGAAATGAGCTGTGTAGCATTGTGTTTGTACGGTGATCACAGTAAGTGTTTACTTTATCATGGTGGATCAGGTATAGTTGCAGGTCTGTGTTTCAGAGTTCTCAAAACTTTTCTGAAGTTCTCCAAGGTTCATAGAAGTGGCACAAATGTAACATGACATTTTTCAGGCTACTGTGAATTTGTACAGTTTCATACAAAATACCTCTCTGGCCAAAAAACAAAACAAACCATGGCAAATGCATATTTGTACTGTTACAGAGAACACCTCAATGTAGAAATGTGTACCCTGAAATTATCACTCGTTTCTGCTCTTTGGGATTGGATGAATAAATGTTTGTCCTTGCTACTGGAGAAAGCACAAAATGTGTTCAAAATAAATGGGAAATAATGGATATATGGACATTTGTCGGCGTCTTCTGTCTGAATGTCTAAAGAAGGATTCATGAATTACGTTTTTTTAGTTGTATACATATTGAAAACGCAGCCTGAATATTAATTAGGATTTAGTCAAACCCCATGTTTTAGAAAAGTCTAGAGAATTATTTTATGCTGGAGGTTTTCTCATGACAATATCAATGTTAAAATACAGCAATGATTCCACAAAACAGTGGCAGTTTTGTCACAAGGTGCGTAGTGCAGTAAATAAATTACAAAACCTGCTAATAATTAGTATAAACTGTTTATTGACCTGTGAGAATAATATAAAATATGCCCCACGAACGTTTAAAATATGACTATATACATTCCTCATTCCCAGATTAAGAGGTCAAAGGGCCAAATTTTATTTTTTCACTTTTACATACCCAGGGTTGATAGAAGATCATGGTAGGCAGTAGAAATGCTGTTTTGCAGAGCTTTCCTGGAACAAATGAGGAAATTTGAGTTTGGAAATGATCACTTTGAACCAAGGTCAGCATCCTTAATTAATCTCTAATCATAAAACAATCAAACTCAAAATTGATTGGATTAGACTGATTTTCAACTGATCAAAACACAGCATTGATCGTGTTCCTCTTATTAAGTGTTAAATATTTTATTTTGCATATAGTTTTCTTGACACTCTGTATCTGCAGTGCCTAGATTTATATTCCCTGGGAACAAAAATTATAATAAATCTATATGTAGAGTGTGCGAGTAGGGTCAGTGTATTTTCTTAACTATATAACTGATTGTTTACATTTTCAATAAAAAACTCAAGAATCGGTCGAGAACAAAACAAATCATTGCAAAACCATATGACACATGTTTTTCTTTTATAAGTCAGGTCGTCACAACACCCTCCTCATTGATAAAATCTCCACCTCTTCTTTCTTTCAGACGGAAATGGGACCGTCACGGCACACAGATATCTACTTACTGAATGACATGGACACTGATGCTCTGGTTGAAAGATAGGAGGATGGATGTTGGACTGTGGCTGTGATGACCCGGCTGTAGCGTGGGACCACTGAAGCTCGGCCAGTATGTGTTTGTCTTCACCTCTCGGCCTAACACATGTTCAAAGTGTCCTTACAGTACACAGATGTCTAATCCTGTTTAAAACAATGATGAATCACAAACGTCTCAGCGACCTCGGCTAAATAATGTTTATGCAAATAATGGTTACATATCTGGGTCATGTCTCAAATATTTTGGTCCTGTCGGCTTCTTCAGATCACTCATTTTAAATGATTGAACCACTACAAGTTAGTAATGCTGTGACAGTGACAAAGAGAGTGATGGTTGCCAACCAGACACTACTGTGATGAAATGATCCCTTTCCATTTTGAAATCGCACAGCCAGTGTTGCACTTGGTTGTTTTTAACTTTCTGCTGGTATATGACATAAAAATCTGATTTTGCCATCGTCACAAATCCCCACAGAGTCAAAAGAACAAAAAGGTACTAAAAGGTCTGATGTGAATCCTATATGATTTATTCATAAAAAGTCAAACAACAAAGCTGCAGCATGATTTTAACAATTTGTTTGGTGCTTTGCTTCTATTCTATTTTATATTTAGATTAAGTGATTTAAAACATTCATCTAGATCTTAATATTGGACAAATTGTTATAATTAATATATTTAATGAACACTTGAAAAATATACAAGTTATTTATGTGTGACTAGTCACGTTTCTTGCTGTGTTTTATACTATATAGAAGAGAATGACAGTTTTATGTCATTTTTATGTACAGTCATGCTGTCTATTTTAGATTTGGGGGATTTCTGTTCTTGGAGATAAGGTCTGGACATCCTCCCTGTTTCCACATATTTGGAAGACCAGGCATAAAATGTTCTTCTTCTAAATGCTAATTATGAATTATTAAATTAAAGGCACCGTTTGTAAGATTACAAATGGCAGCAGACAAAAACTTATAATAAACTGATAATAAAAGCATTTCTCCTCTCGGATTAATAAAGTATTTCTGATTCTGATAACCCATGTGTATGTTTTTTAGAAAATGTATACATTACTGTGTAATTAATTTGTGAATTTTAGATCATACATTTGCAGTAGTGGTGTAATATGAGTGATTCAGTGTTGAATGCAGTACCTGGAGTCTGATCAACTCAGTTTTTCAGCCTGTTCAAAACTTTACATTACATTTTCTCTCTTAAATTGTGCTCTTAGGCTTTCATCAGTTTGTTTTAAGATTTCTTTATTTATGTGTAGTTTGTATACATTATGAATGCTACTTTGTCTTTTATGTAGTTTTAGTGGATGTTTAGTTTGGTTTAAAATGTTATTTTGTCTTTCAGCTTTTTGGGACGTTTTAGCAGGGGTTAGCTTTTTTTTTTGATGAAGCAAGATTTACGCAGAGGTGTGATGTGTGCAAAGTGCAAAATATGATGTGAAGTGTTGTATTATGATTGTGACAGGTTGATACTTAAACATGTCTTCTTATGCATTTCAATAACTTGATTATTGTAGCGACTTTAAAAAACTGTGTGTTTTACAGGGATTTTAACAAGTTAAAAAAGTACAGAGAAGACGCTAGAAAAGAAGAGGATATGAAATATCACCATAAAACAATAGGATCCATCATAAAAAGACTATGTTGGTTGTGCACTATATATATATAAACCAAACCACTTTTTTCTCGACCAAATATTGAACTGCACTTGTATGCTGTAATTATTGTGCAGATGACTAAGTGCCTCCTGTGTTCACCACTGTGCCTATTCACTGTTCAGTCAAAAACAAACTAATACTAGAAACTCACATTGTTACAGGTGGAAAAACATGTTGTACATTGAGTAAAACTGTCTAATTAGAATCCTTCATCAAGAATATGTGTTATAGGGATGAGTATATAGTTTAGAGGGGCTGATAGTAGCTTTGAAAATTTAATTTATTGTCAAATTTGTTTTCTTTTGCCATTGTGTTCTGCATTTGCCATATTTTCTGTAAGAACTGAAATGACATGTAATGGCAAATAAAAAAACAAATATACCCCTTTTTAGTAATAGCGCTCCTGCAAAAAACACATTCTTAAAATAAATGAACCAGCGAGAAATGGGCCACAGTGAGTATAAACGTTGACATAGTAAGCTGTATGATAAAATATCTTTATCGTGCATTTGGTTGAAGACTGTCAGTACGTCTCCACTGGACCTTCTGGCATAACCTACCTCTAGTGAAATCAATTAAAAACACGTTAATGACCTCGCTTGCACCATGTTTTTCATTGATTACTGCATCATTTGTTGCATTTTAAAGTATTATAAAGTGTCTGAATTTGGGAACAGCTGTTGCGAGTGTTAGTGACCATTTCCATGGCAAAACAGGAATTTGGTACTGTATTGTATTGTACTGTAAATTAGATTAAATTTGTAATTTCTGATTTGATGTAATTGTACAGTATGATACAGTATTAGGACCCTACTAAAAGGGTGGTTTTCCAATATATTTTTTTTGTTGTTTTAAATTATCTGCCGTCTGTTAGATTTTTTAAATTTTTTTTTCTTGAATAAAAAAAAAAAGTAAAAATACCTACTAATGTGCTTTCTTTTTCGTTATTGTATTTATTCTTTTACTGAAAAAGTTGGGTCTATGCCGGGTCTTATTCATAAATCTCGAGAGGTGTAAATATTTAAATCAATGATGGATGAATTCCATTTAGCTGCTTCAGTTTCAGGGTCCTGGTATTGTTCATGCTGGCTCACCGTGACACTCGATAGAACTGAGCCACCATGCCACACCTGTGCTTTTCCTACTATGACTGCTGGGAAATTCACCTGGTGTCAACTTACACCGTTTCTGTACTCTTCCTCTTCCTTCTTAACTTCAGTCTCTGATTTGATAGCTCCAATGTAATTACTGAGGAGGAGCAGTACAGTGCACTTTTTAAACACTGTAGCACAATCGACAGTGGTTTGATAGGGTTACCAGCAATTACTTCATGAGCTGTCTGACCTTTAAAAACTCATTTTGACCTACTTTGTTTGTTATTTAGTTTGCTCATAAGTGTTAAATAGTCAGTTTATTGTTTGTAGTAGCAACAGTAGTTGTTGTTTTGAGGTTACTGTCTTCTAACGTAGACTATAAGTTAACTAAACCAATAAAATTGTACGTGAGCTAAAGGAAGTACTGTATTATTATTAAACAACAATATGGCTGTTAAGTGAAGCAGCCCCGCTATGTGGGACCAGCCGGACGCTGAGAGGTTGCCTTTGTAACGGTTGGGTTGTCATGGAGCCGTTGGCTTCTTCCTTGCCACGCGAGGGCGCTGTCTCAAGCGCGCCTTCGTCCTGTCCTGCCTACGTCACCACATTTCACCGAATGCGATGGAACAGCGTGGAGAAGCGTGAAGGTGGTCTCGGGAAACACTGAAGGAACTTGTAAGTTCAATGAAAAGTTGATAAAATGTGTGTTTTTCGTGTCCGCGTCTCTATCTGGTGCTTGGTAGTCGGACCATGTAGCTAGCGGCGACTGAGAGATTCCCGGCTAACGTCTGTTACAGTTTCTGTTGCCGGTTGATGTGTCAGACGGTTGTTTTCAAATCCTTATTTTAGAGGCAAGATGAGGGACGCGGCTCTCCTGCTCACACCGTGCGTGCTCCTGTGTCTCTTCCTGAGCTCCAGCCAGGCCGCCAGACAAGGACAGGACATGAGATGTGGAGGTATGTGTCTGTCTCTGCCTCACTCTCTCTCAGATACCGTGAAAAGTCTTAATGCGTGTCCTCCCTCTCTGCTCCCCGCAGCCTGCAGGGCTCTGGTAGATGAGATGGAGTGGGCCATCTCCCAGATAGATCCAAAGAAAATGATCCAGACAGGATCCTTCAGGATAAACCCGGACGGCAGCCAATCCATCAGAGAGGTGAGGCTGCAGCAGCACATCCACGTAGTAATCTGTGGGCCGAAGGATTACATCGGTTTTTAAAGCGGAGCTAACAACTATTGGGTTTCACTGGGATGAGATGCTACTACTAACTAATTAGATCGTTTTATTGATTTTTAAAGACGACATGTTAAAACATTATCTGTTACTAGCGCTTAAAATTTGAGATTCTGCTATGATAATTTATCTTATATGACAGTAAAATGAATCATAACTGAAAACAAAACATCTGATGACTTCCCCTGAGCTCTAGGATATTGTGATGGGCACTTTCACAGTTTTCAGATGTTTCATAGGCCAAACGATTCATTGGGGAAATAATCTGCATATAAACGATGATTGTATTCATTTAATTAAAAACTTTTTTAAATAAATTTAAAATGTATCAATAATGAAAACAGTCTCAACAATATTTTGCAGTTCTGGCCGGGTACAAAACCTCATTACTTTCTGAGTGCTAGTTGGATTGATTGTGTCATGTGCTGAACAGTATTATTCTTTAATCAGGTATTGACTGATTTAAGTGATATTTTTATTTTTTCTTTACCGTTAATACAAAGTTTTATCAGGAATTTAATCAGAATGGTCATTGTAAAAATAGGATGAAGGGAACAATAAAGGATTGCTGCAATAGAATTACATTTTTTTGTGGTTCTGTTTACGTGGGTTGGCGTGAAGAGAAACCTCACATCCTCTTAAATTCAGAGCTTTTCATGACCTGTGATTCCTCCAGGTTCCTCTGGCTCGCTCAGAGGGAAACCTCCTCGAGCTTATGGAGAGTGTGTGTGACAGGATGGAGGACTACGGCGAGCACACAGATCCTTCAACAAACAGGAAGTCCTACATTAGGATAAAATCTCGGAGCGGTGAGGCCATGGACCTCTCTGAGGCCACGCTGGATTCAAGAGTTACAGCCGGATTAAAATTTGCAGTGAGTACAGTCTTCTACAGAATAATCCCTAATAACTATTAAATGCATCATCATATGTTTTAATGACCTCGCACTGCTATGTTTTTATTTTTAATGACAACACAGATTAAAAAACTGTACAAGTATTTTTATGCAACCAACACCCCCCAATCTTGTGATTTATCCTTTGAATCGTGCATCGTGTTACAGTTTTTTGACTTATTTCTCCAGTGTGAAACAATTGTTGAGCAGCATGAAGATGAAGTCATTGAATTCTTCTCTCATGAGACAGAAAATGTCAAAGACAAACTCTGCAGCAAGAGGACAGGTATGTTTTTGACTCAACATGCCTGATGTATTTGATGATAATGCAGTGTTTTACACCCCCTTACACATTTCTGTTATGTTGTTCCACTGCAGTGGCTGTATTTTAATTGTTTTCCTGTCCTGTGTGCTCTGCAGACCTCTGTGACCACGCTCTAAAAACACCCCATGACGAACTTTGATATCATCTCTCCGGCCCTGCTTTCTCTCCTCAGCTGAAATGGAGACGTTGGGTGCTGTAGTGTTTTGAGTTGTCACTTATCGCCGGTTTATGCCATGGCAGCGGTGGAAGATGTATGCAACTTATTATGTAAAATAATAGAAAATCCACCTGAAAATAAAAGTGTTATTCCTGTGATCTGTGAGAATTTAAGGACCAGTTTGCCAGTTTTTTTTTTGCCATATCTCTTTGGACTATACTGTCACCTATTTATAAACTGGAAGCTGTTGACTTCTCAGTATTCTGTGTTTCATACGAAGGCTCCTGTCTTTTAGTCAAATGTTATTTACAAGATAAAACTGAAAGTTAAGTCAGTCTTCTCGGCGCATACAGGATTTCTTACAGGATTAAGTGCGTATATAACCATTTTAATTTAAGACAAGTACATGGAGATCAGGTTGACATTTGGTCAAGTGGTCCTTAAGTTCTTATTCATGCACAAAGAAAAATAATCTCCAAATATTAGGTAGAAGAACGCTGATGTGATTAATAAATTAACATCTGTACTCACATATTAAAGTGTCATTTGATTCTGAATTACATTTTTAGTTCTAGCGCGTTTATAATGCTCACCAATATTTACTGAACCTGAAAGATCACAGGAATAACAGATGTCAGTGGTGTTCTTTTTTTGGATGGATTTTCCTTTAGGCAAAACTGAGAAGTTACACAAAGGAACATTATGTGAGATCAGAATTGAAAATGATTTTAGATTTGAGTGGGATTAGTTTCACCGTTGTCCAAATGAGAAAATGTGCTTGTACAAATGTTCATCAAACATCACCCTCTTCAAAGATTGATCATCCTTCACCTTCAGCCTTGATGTTGTTACTGTTGATGTGAAATTTATTATAGTTAAGAAAACTGGTCCAACAAATTAAATGGTGCTGTTTAGGGAGCAGGGTTAATGCTTGAAATGTCTTCATGAGCTGAAGCGTTCATGAAGTGCTTTTCATGAACTGATCACACATTTACTACTAGAGAAATTTGTAACTAAAGATTAAATGAAAGTTGCAGTTGCAAAAATGTTCTTCAAATATTCAAACTCAACTTTGTACCTTTCAGTGGCCTAAACACTCTCTAGTTAATTCACACACACTGAGACTATGATACATAAACTGTTTTGAATCTGTTTGGATAAAAGTAAATTATGTATGTAAGTATGTATGAGTTAATGTTAACAGTAATTATGTCTGTATGATCCCACCCTTTTTATCCAGTGCAGAAAAATAAATATAGTTTAGTTTATATAGACGTTTGGTTAGTGTTGTAGTCAAGACCGCCCAAACCGAGACCAAGTCAAGACCAAGACTTTTAGGGGCTGAGACCAAGTCGAGACCAAGACCGAGGGAGGGCGAGACCGAGTCAAGACAAAGACCAGTTCCCCACATTACATGACACACAATAAAATGTGGATCAAGATCATAGGTACTTCTCAAATTAATCCAAAAGATCCATATTCCCATTAAAACACATACAAACACTAAGAGTTGAAATCAACGTAAGTATCTTTATTCAACACTTCTTTTCCATGCTTACCATTGCGACAGACAGGGGTGACAGTCAGTAACGGTAACAATACATTTTTAATTACAATTATTGGTTGCATTTGAAGCTGTATATTTTACATCCAATCAAAGTTAGGATGTTAACAAATAAATTAGATAATGCAAAAGCAATTTATTGATATTCCCAAAGTTATGATCTTGACTGGTCTTGAAATAAAATATTGAGTCCTCAACGTCCGAGACCGAGACAAGACCGAGTACAAATGCGGTCGAGTCCGAGACGAGACCAAGACCATCAAAAAGTGTTCTTAAGACCGGTCTCGAGTACTACAACACTACGTTTGGTCAGTTGTAGCTTCACAAGCAGACATGGCATAGCTGCATTTCATCAAACACTACAAAAACCAGTAGCAATCCCTTTGAATTATGATGTAATTATGATATTAACTGTTTTGTGTTTTACTTTTGATCATGAAGAGTACAGTTCTGTTTTTTTCACCGTCTTGTAAAACTGAACTCTAACGTAACGCCAATAGAGTGTGCTGTAGTCCGCACTCGGAAAGAATCACACTCAGCTGGAAAGTCCTCCTGTACTTTGGTAGAAAGGTCAGGAAGTATTTTTGGTCTTATATTTCTCGATGTATGGGAAAAAAGACCTTGCTATCTCATGTGAACATCCTTCTAATCATTTTTTTATATATATAAATTTTGTAAGATTTCTGCATCTTTTTTGTCTTTAATCAATAGAAATATATTTGTACAACATCAACACAAGTTTACCTTCTAATTTCTAAGCCATAAATCATAGTCTCAATCATCAATCTGTCAAATCATGCATTGGCATCACTAAAATGTTTGATGTCAGTATATTCTGATGTTTGCAGTGCTATATAAAGGTGACAGATAATCATAACCTGCAATGAGCTGAACTCCGTTGCTCCATAGAATATTCCCGATTCCCTCATAGAATCTTTGCTTTTGAAATTGAAATATTATTGAATATTGAACTGAGAATTGTATTTCAGTTTAAAAAAGACTAAATATTTTATATTATATAAATCTAATTATTATTTATTGTTATATTATCACTAGAAAAACTCTTGTCTCCTTTTTGGTTGGTAATTTAGTAGCTCTTCTGGAGCTTTCAGTTGTATCGCACCATCTTCCTCAGCAGGTGGAGTTTGTCCAATTGTCATGAGATTTAACAATCATTTGAACTCACCAGTGCACCTTGAAAGTTCATTCTTGACCTGGAAAACAGCAGCTGAAAAACTACATTCATCAGAAGACGAGATGTCTTCTAAGGAAGCAATATGAACTTTCCACAGCATTTTGTTTATGCACTCCATCATTTTATTTACTTATAATACAGAACAATGGCTTGATTTTTCCCAGAAATATCACTATACCATAAAATCACTCCAAATAATCAAAGCTTTTATCAAATCCACTTTAATAATCTCACAGCTACATGTTACCTTAAACACTACTCTGTAGAAATAGCAGATAGTAATAGTAAATAATAGTAAATAAGATGTGGGGGAAAACTATGATCAACAAACAAGAATAGATTTGTCAAACAGTTGGTTTGGATATTTTAGATCTCAGTTTAGATTTCTGTAACCGTAATTGCATCACCATGTATCCATCAAAAATTAAAGCTACAAGATTACACTGAAACTAAAAAATCCATTAGCCTTTGTGAAGATATCTGCAACAAAATGTTACTGAGGAAGTTACTTCATTATAAGGCACAATACAAATTTAGATGGTACATTGTTGTTAGATTTTAAATTGTGTTTGATCGGTGTTACTTGATAATCCAGTTGTTTACAGATTGATTGTCAATATTTTCATTCATCTGAAATCTCTGAGCGCACAAAACCCTCCATCTCATTTTCCTTTAGTTCTGTTTCTGTCATTTCCACTGCCTTGGTTGTTAAATTCGCCACCTCAACCGGGCATCCCTCGCTCTGACTAGACTCATTTCTGATGCTCTCATTTCCATCATGTTCCTCTTCCTTAGCGGCAGTCTCATCTTTTACTTCACCAGAGCAGCATCGCTCTCCTTCAGTCATCTGAAAGTCCTCTTCATTCTCTGACTTGCTTTCTGTCCCGGCATCAAGTGGCTTTTCCTCGAGCTCCTCCTCGTCTGCTACAATAACAGTGTCCCCAGAGCTGTGGCTGCTGGTGCTGCTGCATGACAGTGTGTCCTCTTCAGCATGTCTGCTTAGCTCTTCATGACATGGATACTGCTGGATTTGTCCCACATCTACATCCTCAATACTACCTTCTGTTGAAATCTCCTGTTGCGATGCTTCATCAAAAACATTCTTCTCAGAATTCATGTCCACTACGACATCTGGGAAACCCAAGTACTCCCCCACGCTCTCTGGATCCCACATCTCACTCGGTTCCTCCTCCTCATTCTCAGAGTCAGGCGCTGTGTGTTTTCTAATGCGATTTACTGCATCCCACAGGGACTTGGGATACTGGGGCTCGTCTTTCAAGGGTAAGTCAGGGTAAACACTTCCACTTCCCCCTTGTGGAGGAGGAGTTGAACAGCTGGGAAGCAGGGCTGGGGGTGAATCAAAGGAAGAGGAAGATGAGAACTGAAGAGATTCTTCACAAGAGTCCAGATGAAGAGAAGGAGGGACAGTTTCTGGGATGCCAGCAGCAGGAGCAGCATCAGGATTTAGAGGTGAGGGACAGAAGAGAGAAACATATTCTTTGTCTGACTTGTATGTTGTACTTGGAGGAGAAGGAAGCTCAACAGGTGACGGCACATCCAAAGGCGGTTGAGACTCCTCACAGTCTGAGCCTGAAGGTGTAGGAGGAGAAGGTTCAATGTCCTGCAAAACTTCAATCTCTATTTGAGTTTTAGAGTCTAAAGCCTTTTGTTTGGATATTGTCTCTTCCAAAAGACCAGTAGGATCCTCATCGGTTTCTTTTTGTGATTGTTCTTCAGTCATATAACTCTCTTTTAGACAGGAATCCTCCTCTTGGCCATTGTCAAATTGTTGCTGCAAAATGTTGATGCCTATTTGACTGTTAGGCCCGTTTTCTTGTGACATTGTCTGTGCTAAAAGACCAGTAGGATCCTCATCGGTTTCTTTTTGTTGTTGCTCTTCTTCTTCTTCAGTCATATAACTCTCTTTTAGACAGGAAACATCCTCTTGACCATTGTCAAATTGTTGCTGCAAAATGTTGACGCCTATTTGAGTTTGACTGTCAGGCTCGTTTTCTTGTGACATTGTCTGTGCTAAAAGACCAGTAGGATCCTCATCGGTTTCTTTTTGTGATTGTTCTTCAGTCATACAACTCTCTTTTAGACAGGAATCTTCCTCTTGACCATTGTCAAATTGTTGCTGCAAAATGTTGACCTCTATTTGAGTTTGACTGTCAGGCCCATTTTCTTGCGACATTGTCTGTGCTAAAAGACCAGTAGGATCCTCATCGGTTTCTTTTTGTTGTTGCTCTTCTTCTTCTTCAGTCATATAACTCTCTTTTAGACAGGAATCCTCCTCTTGACCATTGTCAAATTGTTGCTGCAAAATGTTGACGCCTATTTGAGTTTGACTGTCAGGCCCATTTTCTTGCGACATTGTCTGTGCTAAAAGACCAGTAGGATCCTTGACAACATCCTCTGCTTGGACACATTCAAGTTGCAGCTGCAAAATGTTGACCTCCACAGCATTTTCTTGGGATATTTGAAGTGCCTGCTCCAGAATCTGGTCTGTATGATCCTTATCTGCTTCTTTTGTCTGTTGATCACCAGCGACGTTGCTCTCTTTCACACAAGCGGTATCGTCTGGTTGGCCAATTACAAATTGTTGCTGTAACACCAGCTCCTCTGTTGTATCTTTGGAAAGGCCCTCAACGACATCACTGATCTCACTGTTCATTGGCTGTAGTGTTTCACTGTTTTCATCCTGGTCCTCAGTGCCTGCTTCCGCAGTTCGAGCTATTAAATTGAGAGCTGAAGGGCTTGGGGAGTGGTCTGTATGGGGAGTGGAGCTTGGGGATAAGTCAGTAGATCCAAGGGTTAGAGGAGATGGAAGTTGCTGGGATGGTGTGTGAGGAAGAGATGGGGTTTCAGGATAAGGACCTAGGTTTTCTGTGGAATTGAGGGCAGTCAACTCAGGATCAGGACCTTCCTCTGTGTTGGATTCTGAGATATACGGGAGAGATGTAAGATCGGAGGATGACTGCATGAGAGAAAGAGTAGGGATAGGTGTTTCACAGCCTATGGAGAGTGAAAGTGAAGAAGAATTAGAGAGCTCGGTCGGTGGACTGAGACACTGAGAGGGATGCTGAGAAGAGGTATAGTTTTCAACAGGCTGATTTCTTTCTTGACTCTGCTCACTTGTATCCTCTTCACTAGTAAATATAAGCAGAGGTTCCTCGGCCATGTTAATTTCAGGAGAGGCTTTGTTATCAGTTTTGAGCTGGGAGTCAATGTCATTCTCTTCAGACATATTAGACACTTGCTCTGGAGGTCCTACGAAATCCTCACCACCTTCGTTTACCACTCTTTCTTTGGTGTCACCTTTCTCTTGCAAACACACAGCATCCTCCTTTCGGCCGACCTCTAACTGATTCTGTGACTGTTCCTCCTCTGTTGTGTTCTTTGGGATTTGTTCAACTGCATCATCAATGTTCTTATCTTTTATTGGTGAAGGTTCAGCCTCCTGGTTGTCCACACACGAGTTAAGAAGTGACGTTGCACTTTCTTCAGGTTGCTGCTCAGTGATGAGTGAGTCATGTAGAGGGATTCCTAGGATTCTTTCAGCGCGCTCCTCTATCGTTTCCCTTTTAGGAACTGAAGATGAGGAAATAAAGGTGAATGAGATTTCCCCTTCTCCCCCGGATGCCTTTTTATCCATAAGATCTGAGTCTAGTTCAGTCTCAGGCCTTTCATTAATGTGCAAGGGGACTGTTTCTGCGTTTTGGTCAGTCGTCACTTCCTGATCCAGCTGACTGCTTGATTGGACACATTCAGGAGAGATGGTTGATTTAATATCAAAGGGATTGTGTTCAGTGTGTGGTGTGGATCCAAAATAGTGAACATGGTCTTTTTTGGGTGATTGAATCAGCTCCATTTTAACAACAACACAGGTTGTGTCGATAACCAGTAGACCCTTATTGTCCTCAGATTCTTTCTTGATGTCCAGTCTTCTAACTTCAAGATCAATTGGGTGAACTTGAGCAGTGTCCTCTTGACTTTGCAGAACATTGGATTCTCCTTCCTCACTGTTTGCTTTCAAACATGTGGATAAACTCTCACTTTCAGCCCTGCTTGTGAAACTAGGCTCCCTCCACAAAGGATATTTGGCTGACACATGCTGCACTGACTGAGCAACTTGTCTCCAAGATGTAGAATCAGCAACATTTTTATTTGCTCTTTCTGGGGAAACATCGTCTGTCTCTGCTTTGGTTGATCGATCATCCTCAAGCATCTCACTTCCTACGCAGGTCGGTGTCTCCTTCTGTTTGGCTTTGAGATTTCTCGCATCAGAAGTATTTGACTGGTCTGTGAGTGTTGCCGCTGTGAAGTCTATCTCATCTGCAAGTTTGTGTGTTTGATTAATGTCACTACTGTCCCTTAATCCTTTAGAAATCCCTCCTGTGTTTTGAATATTTGTTTTCAAGGTACAAAGTGGTAGAGATGGGGTTTCAGTGGAGCCTGCTATTCGAGACACCAAGCAGAATATAGTCATCCCGCCTGTCTTTTTACTTAATCTGAACTTCCTTCCTTCAATGACTTTTGAGGATGCGTCCTCATTCATCATTTTATTCTGAGCTGCTTCGAACACTTGTGGCTGTTGCAGAGACAACATCCCCGCATGCTGTATGTGTGTTTCCTGGATGCTAGTAGGACTGCTTGCCTGTAAAGCATCTGTTTCCTGTCTTTGGTGCTTTAGTCCTTCAAGCTCTGGGAAGGTTTTTTGATTTCCATCTGGTTTTGTAAAGTCCTTTTCCTCTTCTTGTCTGTGATCCTGCTGATCTACAGAGATATCCTGCTTTCTGAGTGTGGGCTGTGACCAGTAGGTTTGTCTCTTACCTTCCTGCTCCCAACTGGTGTCATAGTGCTGCAATACAGGTGAATTTTTATGTGGGCTGTTATAAGGTGGAGGAGCAATGTAGCCAGGAGGTTGGCTGAACATCCCCCTTTGGTAGCCGGTCTTTTCTTTCATGTCTAACATGTGGCTTGTGTCTGTGGCAGGAGTATGTGATGGATAATAGGCCAGAGCTTGCTGTCTGGCCCCTCTATCCCACAGTCCTGATTCTCTGATGTTTGCAGATTGTAAGACTTGTTGCAGTGCTGCCACGCGAGGATCTGTCCCACTCCTGCTGTCCCTTTCTGGAGCCCTGCTGTTCTCCACCAACCCCTGAGAAGCACCCCTCAACTCCGCCTCAATACGTCTCCTCCTTGGAAGTGAATGGCTATATCGAGCTGCCCAAGCCTCCAGCTCTCTGTAGCTGCTGTCACTCCTCTTAGCAGAAACTTCCCTGTTGTAGCGGACAGGACTACAGGGCTCCCACCTCCTCTGCCATGCCTCTCTCAGAAATCCCCTCTCATATTCCCTGGCTGCTCGTTGAGATGCTGTCCACTCTCTGTCTCTGGCTTCATGTGTCTGATATTCTCCCAGGTCCTGGTGCTGTTGAGAGTGACGGTTTAGAATAAAAGGGAAGTGAGAAGAAGGTGCAGTCAGCTCTTGGTCCGTCCAGTTAGTGTACTCCTGTGGAGCCCCTCCCGTTCTTGATCCTGGTAAAGTCCAGTAACTGGACTCCCTGCCTTGATCCTGATGCTCACCATAGTACAATGGATAATTGGTTGCCTGATGTCTCTCATGGTAGCTGTGGGGAAAATGTTGGGAAATGAGTAAATTCAAAAAATCTTCAGCAAAGCCATCTTCCATATCACATTTTATTTCTTGCTATGCCGGGTTTTAGAAAATCTCCCCATGACAAGTGTCTCATTTTGTGAGAAGACTAATTTTGCCTTTGCCATCACTTTAGTGTTTAAATATGGTCCAATGCTGATATCTAACAAATGAAAATAATGTGTTAGGTTAAAAATCTTACAGTTTTTCATGGTAATTAGAGCAATGTGGAACAGCAGCCTGTAGAAGACTGTGTTGCAGTAATTACAGGGCTGAAATTAGTCAAGGATTACATAGTCTGCAGAAATGCAGCAAATAAAGCAACTGACTCTTTGTTGAGCAATTTGTCACCTAATTGTTTGGTATCGAAATGGGAATGCAGATCAAGTTTAAGTTTGCCAGTCAAACATAGAAAATAGGAATCATTGAAAATCATCCAAGGATTATACTGATTTTAAAGGCAATCATACTACTGAACTCACTTATGTGTATAGTTTCTCCCAGGAACAGTACCAAATTTGGAGTATAGAGAAGATTGACCCTGATTCTCGGGCCAGAAGTCCATATTTTGGTCCGATACACAAATCTGAATCATGGAGGAAAGGATATTAAACTGTTTCAGTATGTTCTTCAAATGCATAGAATTAAGAGCAGACTCAAAAACTATATAAATATTCTAATGTTGAACAATAAATGAATAAATAAAATCTCATTTAAAATGCAATGCAATTTAAATAATGTTAAGGAAACGGAGAGACAGGTACACACATGCAACACATACCTTTAATAGTTGTTTCCAGATTACTGTCCTTGCTGCTCATGAGGTGATAAGAGGTCTAATGAAGTCCAAACAGCACAACTGGTTTTAAAGGGATGGTGGTATTCAGTCCCCCTCCTACTCTACACACACACACACACACACACACACACACACACACACACACACACACACACACACACACACACACACACACACAACTGTCGCTGTAAGCCCATCCTCCTCTCATCCAGCCAACATGCCCAGTTCAAATACCACTGAGGAATTTTTTAATCACGTTTTTAGAAATACTATCTTTAGCTGCATCATTCCCCTTTAAAGTCATACAAAGCTAATGTGAACATAACTTGGGAGTCAGAATATTTATACATGTGTAAAACTAACATGGAAATAGTTCAGATAGAGACACAGTCAAATATAAAATGCAGATAAAAACAACTCTCATGAGGTTGCCACTAGAGTTTTATGCTCTACAGCTTTAAATGAAAAAGCTTTTTGACAACCTTGTATTGGGATTAATGGTAATTTTCTAGTCAGGCGGATTATTATACTAGAATGTTTCACACTTAAATTACAAGAACATCACTGCTCACACAGCTGCACATACTACTTTTAATCAAAAAATTATACATAACTTTGCCTAATTAATCATGAACAACAAAAAAAACAACGATCTGCACTTTGCATGACACTCGCGTGGGAGGTGCTCGGCGTGATGGAGAGCAGACTCTGCATGGTGATAGGGATCTGTTGTTTTGTCGGCTGAATTGTAGCAGAGGGAGAGATGGGTTGTCTCCCTTTCTTTGAAACTCTCCAGCGTAACAAACAGGCTTTCCTTCTCTGAACAGAAAGTCTGTACATCAGCAGAGAGCAGGAGAGAGGGGATGAAGTACGTACAGACAGCACACTGCAATAATCTGTTGATGCTGACAGAATAGTTGGTTAATAATGTCGTATTGGATATCAACAGCCCCTAGACTCAAAGGTGAATGTTTCCTCAGCCAGTTACAGTATATCCTGCTTTATTATTACTAGGAATAATTTCAGGTGAGAGCAGGATCCATGTTAGTAGAAAGTAAAAGTAAAAAATAAAAACCAAAGATTATTTTCTTTACAGTTAAAGTACAGTAAGTGCGGAAAGGTGTATTTGGTTTCTAGAACATATATTGGCTGTTTGCAACTAAGTTTTGACAGTTACATTTGGATATACTGGCCCCAGCTTTCTAATTTACATCAATCCAGACCATAGGTCCAGACTGAGCACATGTAGAACTACACACATAACAGAGGTGTGACTTGTGATCACCGTGACAGTATGACACCAACTACACGAAAGTATCCATTTTTTTCTGAGAAAATAATCAGCTTTTGCATCTTTCTGAGCTTTGATGCTGCTTGTAGAAAATCGTTTCAGCCCAGAGATGATGATGATGAAGATCTTTAGTCTCCATCACCTTGTGTTTACGGAGGGCTGGCATGAATTTGATTTAAACTGAAATGTATGTATAACATTAAATATTTGTGACCAAATGAGCATCAGACAAAATTAGTTTGAAAAATACAACATCTCTGGTATTAAGATTTGAGTTGGACACTCAAACTCGATAGTCTGCTGTATCAGGAGTAAGTGGGTGGGGTTTGGTCAGATTTGATTGACAGTGGCCTGGCAACATAAGCAAACAATCCCAAAGATTTCATCACATTTTAATTAACATGGTTGAACCCTGATTAGTGCATGCAGTATGTGACGTCACCACTAACTTACTATACAGAAGACCACAAACAAAAACATAAATACAACTGTGTCTCATAAAATAAAACCAATTGTTATAGGTTTTGTGTTCATGTAGGACCCTGTAAGTAAGCATCTTATACAACACTGGTTTTCAGGGCCTTTAAAGCTATGATCATGTGACTTGTTTTCACTCTAATCTGAAGGTAATGCAGCTCAGACTTTTTTGTAACATGCTCAACATCCTTGCAGAAACTAAACAGGGATATGTGAGCATGTGCGAACAGGATGCTGTGCCATCTGTTCTGATTAAACAAACCTGGTGTTTTAACTGAGAGGAGAATTAGCAACGTGGAAAAGAAATATGAGATTTTAACTTTAGAGGACAGGCAGAAGATGCCCGAGAGGAGCAGTTGTCAAGCTCTTCTCTGAATCGATGTTGTGCATGACAATGACAACATGGAGTCAAAATGAAGAAAGTAGACAAGTGATAAAAGGAAATGTCCAGTCCAGTGATTATGATCAGACTTGCACTGCAGCCTGAAGCTGTAACGGCAGAGCTGATCCCTGTCTCAGTGAAAACAAGTCCAGCCATGAAAACATGTCCTCTGGACTGCAGACTGACATTCAGGGTTCATTAACTAAACATAATATCAGAATACTAATGTTGCATTATATCAAATCACAGTAAGAACTTGTACTTGCCATGATTACTGATTTCAAACTGTATTTAAAAATGTGCTCGCTAAATTTTATGATTTTGGATGGATACATTTCTGACCTAAAATATATATAGCACCTCAAATGACCACAATATGTAACAGATGACAAGTTTTATTTTTTCACTTGTAATAACATTAAAGCATGTAAAAACAATCTCAATTGATATAAGAGAAATAATAGGATATCACAGATGTCTCAAGTGAAAATGGTCAATATAATAGCCATAAATAAAAGTACCACTTCATTAGAACAAACCAATGGTACAACTAGGTAAACAAGTAGTTATTCTGTGTCCCACAACTCTGACCTGATTTCTGTATTTAAACCTAGCACCAACATTTATTTTCTTTAGACTCCACATACAATTTATTGATTGAATGAAACATGTCAATGCATGAGAAGAGAACTACTACTTTGTTTACAAGCTCATAAAACTAATTGTTGCATTATAAAATACAAAAATGCACCTTAAAAAAATGATTTAAAAAAGATCTGAAACTGATTTTTTCCAATCAATACTTAGAAGGCAGATATAACATTGTATTATCCAAGAACATTGAGCTGTCCTCTGAAAAGGCACCAAAGAAATCAGAGTCATTACTGATCAAGTCCCAGTCCTCCATCCTATTTGCCTCTGCTGTCACTGGTCTTTCTTCAGACACGCCCTGTATATATTAATGTTTTGTTTGTCATCACGGTGCACAAGCTCTACATTAAATCTGCTTGGCAGACATTCCTCAAAGAAACCTGGAGTCCCGTGCTCTTGTCGCATTTTTGATGAGAGATATACCACGGCTCCGTTCTTGCACAAATGAGCTAGTGTCTCCACCAGCAGTGGGTAGGTCTCTGGGAGGTAAACTATATCTGCACCAAGCACCAGATCCCAGTCAGAAGAGAAGTTCATGTGGTCTTCACCCCAGGACAGAGGGAGGACGGTGGGGAGGGCAGTAGGCCAACCGCTGGATGGCATGTTTGCAGAGACATTGGCCTGAAGCTGTGAGAGAGCCAGAGGAAGGTCTGTGAGGGTCACAGCTGCACCTGAAAGGAGACCAACAACAATTTGCTGTAGATGAACACAAGATGCTGTATTCACTTCAAGTATCGTACAGATGGATGCACAATATAACACATGTATTCAGATACTGTACATTTGTAAAAACAGTCAGGATATTTTAACAAGGCTGAATAAAAAAACAGTGGTGAATTTTCAACATCGACAGTGTAGAAGCTGTAGGTTTGCAGAGGGTTTGCAGGAAGAAACGAGTTGCATATCTGGATAAAGGACGGGAAATGTGGGTGGAGCCACTGTAGTGCAACTCATTATCATTAACACGCACACTAAATTTAAGTGTGTAACAACATACCGAGGCGTGCTGCCAAAATACCGACTACACCAGTCCCTGCTCCTAGCTCTATGATGCGCTTTCCTCTCAGCTCCACCGGCTGCTCCTCGAAGTAACCACACAGGTTTAACGCCTGTATATACACACACACACACACACACACACACACACCGTTAGGCAGAGTCACACAGATATAGCAGGTATATTTTCTTAACCTCGACATAGCCAAACCAAATTGGCTCTTACTGCTTCCCAGACCGGGGCAGCCACGCCGAGGTTGGCACCGAACACCTGTCTTATCTTCAGCTCTTCGCCGACTAAACTGTAAACCGTATCTTGGGAATATGTGTCCGCGAACAGACAGTCGTCAACAGGGAACGGGTCGTCTTCGTCCCCTACACAAATCATGGTTGGTGATAAAATGGGTTCACAGTCTCGAGAGCCCAGGCACACGGCTGCTAGCCTTCAGGTCAGGACCGTTAACGTTAGCATCAGCTAGATAATGTTAGCTTATCTCAATTAGCCAGATAAATGGCGTTAAGTTAGATGAGGTATGTAAAACGCTTTAATGTTAAGTCGTTCCGAAATGCGTAAAGAATGAGAATGATTAAAAAGCCATGTAACGCTGTCTGTATGTTCACGTTGGCTGCCACGTGTTACCAGCTGAGCTAGCATCACACTGAAGTTAGCCTGAAGTTATCTTCCCATTCGCAACTTCCGATTCGGAAGTTGAGGAGAAAGTTCAGGGAAACTTTACTTACATTGCAGAGCGACCTCTTACTGTTGTGAAAGCGTATTAGATATTGTATAGGAAAAGCCTTAATGCTGTCTGAAACCCACTTTCAGATTTATAAAACCTTTTATTGTATTTGACAAAAAAAAAAAAAGTTTCACTGCTTTTTTTTCTCCACATCTAGACCACACTGATCATATTGTTAGAATATCATCAAAAAGTTATTTCAGTAATTCCATTCAAAAAGTGAAACTTTGATATTATATTCATTCATTACACAGACTCCTTTTTATTTCATTTAATTGTGATGATTAAAACTGACAACTAATGAAAATCCCAAATTCAGTAGCTCTGAAAATTTGATAATTAAGACCAATACAAAAAAAACAAACAAACACAACAACAACAACACACACTCACACCAAAACACAGGATTATAGAAATGTTGGCCAACTGAAAAGTATGAACATGAAAAGCATGTACAGCACTCAATATTTAGTTGAGGCTCCTTTTGCCTGAATTACTGCAGCAATCTGGCGTGGCATGGAGTCGATCACTCTGTGGCACTGCTCAGGTGTTATGAGATCCCAGGTTGCTCTGATAGTGGCCTTCAGCTCTTCTGCATTGTTGGGTCTGGCGTATCGCATCTTCCTCGTCACAATACCCCATAGATTTTCTATAGGGTTAAGGTCAGGCGAGTTTGCTGGCCAGTTAAGAACAGGGATACCATGGTCCTTACTTACTGACTGTGGAAACTTTACACTGGACTTCAAGTAACGTGGATTCTGTGCCTCTCCTCTCTTCCTCCAGAATCTGGGACCTTGATTTCTAAAGGAAATTCAAAATTTACTGTCATCAGAGAACGCTGTGTCTTGTTCAAGACTGGCTTGACACAAGGAATGCGACAGCTGAAACCCATGTCTTGCATACGTCTGTGCGTGGTGGTTCTTGAAGCACTGACTCCAGCTGCAGTCCACTCTTTGTGAATCTCCCCCACATTTTTGAATGGGTTTTGTTTCACAATCCTCTCCAGGGTGCGGTTATCCCTATTGCTTGTACACTTTTTTCTATCACATCTTTTCCTTCCCTTCGCCTCTCTATTAATGTGCTTGGACACAGAGCTCTGTGAACAGCCAGCCTCTTTAGCAATGACCTTTTGTGTCTTGCCCTCCTTGTGCAAGGTGTCAATGGTCGTCTTTTGGACAGTTGTCAAGTCAGCAGTCTTCCCCATGATTGTGTAGCCTACAGAACTAGACTGAGAGACCATTTAAAGGCCTTTGCAGGTGTGTTTTGAGTTAATTAGCTGATTAGAGTGTGGCACCAGGTGTCTTCAATATTGCACCTTTTCACAATATTCAAATTTTCTGAGATACTGATTTTGGGGTTTTCATTAGTTGTCAGTTATAATCATCAAAATTAAAAGGAATGAAATATATCAGTCTGTGTGGAATGAATGTTTTCATTATACAAGTTTCACTTTTTGAATGGCATTACTGAAATAAATCAACTTTTTCATGATATTCTAATTATATGACCAGCACCTGTATACAGAGTAAGTGTGTTTGATATGTGCATGCCTGTGTGCAACGCTCTGGATTTGGTCACAATAAAGAAGTAGCAGCATTAAAAACAGTTTACTTTGTCCGCAGGGACACCAACAGGTTAAATAGGTAAAGGGTTATGGCAGGCAGGAAAAAGCTTTAAAAAAACTAGCAAATCACAACTTAAGACAGATTCAGGTAACCCATAGGTCTGTGACTTGGAGACATGATAGACGGTGTGGAAATTTACAAGGCTACTGGGAGCGGAAAAAGCAGTGACATTTCCCTTTTCTGTATTTTCACAAACAGGATGAAGGTTTCACAAATCTGAAACTGTTATTTTTAAAGAATCTTTAGCCTCTCTGAGATAATGTAGTCCAGATTTGACACATCTACGTATAGACCTGGTCCAGTGTGGTCTAGTCTTAAAGTCTACCTTTTGATTTTTCATAACTACAGTAAAGGTTTTAAAATCTGAAATTGGGTTTCAGACAGGGTTAAGGCATTACCTGAAATGTGTAACACACTTTAATGTAAGAAAGCAAAAAACAGAGGACCTGTTGCTAGCTGGGGTTCAGTTTCAGCTGTTTAACCTGCACTTTTAGAGAAAGATTGTTATGAATGGTACTGTCCATACATTTTATCAAAATGTATTACTTCTGTATTCACTGAAACTGGGTGTTTAGTTACAGCTAGTGTATGGTTACACTGGGCTTTTCATTTGAAATGCAACACCAACACGCTTTCCAGGTTACAGGACATTTCAAATACCCTGAAATAACTTTCCAAAGGAACACTACGCATTAGAGGCATGTTGACAGTGCAGTCTTGAATATACAGCCTTTAAGTATTTGATATAGATATGGAGGAGTGTAATATAATGCTCTGATTACTTTTTATACTTCACCTTTGTACATCACATATTTCTGATATTATTGATGGGGGGGGGGGGGCAGCTACATGTGATCTACCCTTAAATTAGAGATTTTGGTATTTAGGCCTTAATATTACTTGGTGAGTTTAGATCCCTCCTGCCTGCAGTCAGTGATGATAACCGTAACACCCCTCAATTTGTGCATAACAACAAAATGACATCATCTCTTATCTTCTTTATTAGCCATTTTTTTGTCTGCTTTCACCTATGAGTAGGCCTGCAATCAAATCAATGGTCAATCTGCCAGTTTAAATCACTTATTTTGTTAGTCAAGTAAACAATATTTTAGAATGATACAAAACTAAGAAAGGCAGCAAATCCTCACATATGAGAAGCAGAAACCATAAATGTTTGGCATTTTTCATTGAAAAGTGATTTACATGGTTAAATCTATTAAAAATAGTTAATATAATGTATAGTCAATTATTTCAGCTGTATTTGTGTATCAATGCTGCAGTTCCACACGCACAAAAAACACAATCATGTTCCAGGTTTATTAAAAAAACAAGTTGATATCTTCTCACCTGTTTTGTGTGGAAAACAAAACTTAAGTGGAGTACCACTAGGACATAACCGCTTTTTTTTTTTTTCCCCCCACACACAACTTCACATCAATGACAAAGATGATTTAACAGGTGTATAAGAGTCGAGTACAGATATGTCAAATAAAGCTCTTCATCGTTTCGCCTTTTCAGTCAGAACACAAGAACAACTAAAGAATCTCCAGCACAGCCAACTAAAATGTAACGAGTCCAATCTGAAAGAAAAAAAATAATCATATCGCTGTCTTCATACCTCTGCTTGTGTCGGACTACATCACAGTTTTCAGCGGAGAGGACAATAACTGTTGGGTGTAGACTACAGATACACTTTACTCAATATACAGTAATTCTGCCTGAGACAGACACCTTCCAACCTCTTGATTATTTGAAGTTCTTAAAAAATAAATAATTATTTTCATCACACAGATGACAGTAGTATTACATCCATAACACAACCACTCTCCCATCTCTCCCCCTCATCCAGGCCTCAACATGTGCAAACTGCAAGAGTTTAAAAAGGTAGCACTTTATGCAAGGACCATGACCAAACAAAAACAAGGAAGTGTTTTAAAATGAGCACCTCATAAAAAGTGCAGCAGGTGTGACACGGGTATGATTTTAAAATTAAAGGATGAAGCTCATGGCTGTCTACACCCTCCTCAGGCCAACAGTGGAGTAACACAATCTCAGTAATAAATTGGGGTGTAGTAAGTAATAAGGAATTAAAAAAATAAATAAACAGGTGGTCCTTAAACCAAAGGAATATTTTTGGTACTGAATCACTACGCTAATAATGTCTGGTACTGTCCTAATACATAACATTTTCTTTAAGTCTGTCAAGGTAAAATACTGAGCCAGGAGGAAGGTAATGTATGAATTTACAGTAAAATGACATCTACTGCATATTCTTCTTTCACAGACATTCGTTCTTGTTACATCTTCCTCAAAAAAACAAAATGTTTACAATGATACTGGACAGAAATGATGCATTGTCACACAACAAAACGTCACAATTCGTGCTTTGAGTTCAAGCAGAGGATGCTCTGCTTTGTCACCGAAACATTGGTAGTCCATTTTTTCAGACCACATAGTGTTTTCTTTTGTTAAGACACATGTCAACATAATCGGGTTCAACAAACCTCTGTCACAGAGTCTTGGCGATTTGAGTCATTGATAAAATAGCCATGGCTCAAACAGATCGTTGATATTTTCTTTCATTAAAAATCAACCACAAAACATCTCCACATAGCCCAAAGTGCACCTGCAAAGAGACGTGGAATTCTTCCTTTCTTTGTTTCCTGGCGGGTGTGAAAGGCAGTCAGCTTTGTTTTTGAGTAGAACCAAGACCCCGAGTCCAAGGCCACACATATGCACAACAAAACAGCCACACAGAAAACAAAAGCCAGAGGAATGCATAATTAAAACTTTGTTCCAAAAAGAATAATAATTAGAACAATGACTATGATAAAGAGGATCAAAATGACCAGCATCTTTCTGTTTTTCTTCTGATACTGTTCCGCCTGCAGAAAGAAAATAAAAGTCAAATATTTCACAAGCTTTAAACTGAATGAAAAAAGGCAAACAACTCAGCATCTCCACACATTGCACTTAAGTGTAACGGTTTGTGGATCCAGTTTGTAATTAGTATGGTCAATTATATCACAATCGTGTCTTTAGCCTGGTGAAAGTTGCCTTTTTGTTTTCCCTGGTGGTTGTTTACATTCATTATTGGGTTCAAAGCAAAAGTGATAAGCATCTTAAAAAAACAGCCCAGAAAAGAAATCTTTAATTTTATCTGAACTGTAACTGTCACCTAATCAAAGTCAAAATGTGTATGTAGACATTAGCATTTTGTGTTCACCTTTTGTAACTGTTTCAATCCATCTTCTGTTTTAACACAAGCCTGCTCCACATTGAAGTCAATTCGGTCAAGAACAGTGCCCTTGAGGAAGAAAGAGGGAAGTTTGTTAGGAGATGAAAACATTTATAGTTGTAGATTATTTATTTTAAACACAGGTATTGTTGTATTTTGGCTGTGTTGTTAGCACTGGTGCCAAACACCTTCCAACCTTGGGTCTGCGTTGACGTAGAGAATTTAAATCCAAGCTTTGTTGATACAATTATGAAATGTCAGTATGTCAGGGCTGCCTCAAATACCTGTTCCACCACCATTCCGGCCAAGTCCCGGAAAATCTCATTCAGATCTGAGATGGACTGCACTATCTGTCGGATCTCCCTCTCTCGTTCTTCAACCATAACTGTGTTCTCTTCCACCAGCATCAGCTGGTCAGCTGTGAACCCCTGAAACAAGAGAAAGGGAAGAATAAAAAGTAGGAGATTTTATAAGAATACAATTGTTACTACATATGCAACTACGCATGTAGGCACAGCAGACACTGCTCAGACCAAATTTCATTTCAGTAGTAGTAATGCTGGATTTCACTTTTGGCATCCACCCTGATAAAAAAGGCAAAACACATCCATCTGCATCTCCACCAATGTTGCCCTTAACAAGCTGCAATGAAAGCAACTTCACAAACTACATCAGCGGCATGGTTTTAAACCATCTCATGATCATTTTCAGGACTGATTTCTACAACGATATCAAAATAATAAATCCTAATAACAAAGTGGCAATGTCTTAAGTTTTAAAAATTATTGCAGGAGTCTCATTAAGTCAGAATATGTATAAAAGCTTTAAAATATATTTTTAAATGGCTATAACTTAGAGATCTAATAAAAATTTTTCCCTCTAATTTCACTTATTTGTGACCCGACAGACGTACTGTATACCAGACTCATGCCATCTCCTGCAACTCACAGTGGAATCTGCATTAATAAGTAAATGAACATCCAGACTTTTAATGGCTGTTTGTTTTTCTTATCTTGTCTGTACTCATATAAGTATGAAGTATTTATGATTTTACTGCACGTACGGTATGCAGGACGCCTGAGCAAAACAAGTGGCGGTGGAACTCACAATGAATTTTAAAAAGCCAGTCACCTTATCATACACAGCTAAATCTTCATCCTCTTCCATTAGGGGTCCAGAGTCAAAAAAGTGCTTTGATCTCTCCTCGCGGTTCTTCATACCTGGAATATTAACCAATGACATGATGCTTAGATGGCATGAAAAACATACAACTTGAGGACAAAAGAGATACGATATGAGAATTCAGGAAGACCAATCGTGGCTTTACTGCGCTCCTTACGTTTTAGGTAGCTGGACTGTGTGTGTCTGAAATTGGTGGACAGCTCCTGCAGGCTCTGTGCCAGGGACGAGACAACGTTCCTCAATAGCCTCTCCTCCTGCTCGGTGCAGTGGCCACAGCGAGACTGCAGACCCGTCACAGCTCGCTGGCATCGGTGAAACATCTGCAATGAACACAAAAGTAGTGACTGAGCAGAGCACGCTTCATTTTAAGCTCTTTTTGTCAGATGTGTCCATCTCCGCTCCCAACAGGATCAGATGACAGACCATCAGTACTGTATCATGCTTTTATGACTTTGTGCTCAAGAAGAAACAGCTGTTAAAAATGACTGAACATACGCAAATACCTTTCAGGCAGTGTAGAAAAAAGCTTTAAGGAGAGACAGGTAAATGATTGTACCTGTGTAATCTCCTGTGTTGTGATTTCTATGGCATGCTCTTCCTCACTACTGTCATCAAGTGTGGGACGATTCATGTGTTTGTCATGAAGTAAAGCCAGATCCTTCATCTTCTGCCGAACCCGTGTGATCTCATACTGGATCTGAAAGGAAATACTTGATGGTTAAAGGCCATGTGACTTTACTTTGTACCCAAATTTCTCGGCTCATACAGAGAATGTCACCAACAAACAGATGCAAGTGTAAGCTTTAGGTCTGTTGAGTAGCGTTAATGTATTCCTACGGGTCAGGTAGGTCTCTACATTTCTGTTGTGTTTGTTTTACCTCATCGACCCCCTCTATCCATTTGGGGGGCAGTTTCTTGGTGACTCCAATGGCGGCTTCAGGATCCAGACTGATTCCTGACACCAGCGCCATTCGATCATCAGCCAACTTAAAAACACAAAAAATTATTGATTCTCTTAGAACATTTAATATAATAAAAAAAAACATGATTTTGACGATGAACCATTTTATGCGTCTTAAGTAATTCTACCACAGAGGAAAACAACAGTACCTCATCAAGCTCCTAATGTGATTGGCAGATAGCAGAGTGGTCCCATCCAATAGGGAACAAGAAAAGGGAGAGAAAGACAGAAGTGACAGAAAGTAAGCCCCAGAAAATCAGCAGTTAATACCACTCCCACCAACCATTAATGACATTAAAATGAGAATGATTATTACTACACAGCAGAGATACATATCAGTCTGTCTGTTGGAAAGAACCATTTTCACTTGCTTTACGTGTGTCCCGAATTTGTGTTTAGTTTTACACTTTTGTCTATACAGTGTTAAATTAAAAAATAAATCATACTTTTCCAGAAACTGGCTGCACAATAATTCCACTTTTAAACAAATCATTAAATGTAAGAAATAAGTGAGAAAAAAAGAGAGAGCAGAAATGGTTGAGCCTTAAGATCAATCGGCTGACTTTAGTAAAAAGAAATGATGTATTTATTATCATCTTTCATGATTGACTGGATACTAAAACCTTACAGATGTGACTTGTTTTTTGTCTCTCGTGTGTCTTGTTTCACTTGACAAAGGCCATGCTGCCTTCTGGCAAAGTAAGATATTTGTTATTTTAAACCTGAGAGTTTCAGGTTCAGTAAACTGAATGTGCATCTTCTAATGGCAAACAACATACTTTTAGTTGAGTCATTGCCTTCTAGTCAGTGCAAATATATTTCAGCCTGTGGAAATATATGTAATGTGCATAATTGCACTAAAGTAAAATGAAATTAAAGCAGCAGACCGCTGGGCAACAAAGTGACTTAAAGCAAAAATCTTTTCACTTTGTTAGCATGACTGTGGTTGACTGCTTTAAAAATAAAGAACTAATTCATGTCCAGTTCAGACAATTTACCAACAACATCTTCTCTGTCACACTGGTGCAAAGTGCACAGTTTTACAACATATATGGATGAAACCCGATGCAGGGACAGAGCTGCAATGCAAAGATATTTAAAGTAATATCTTTGGGTTGAGGATGTAATTTTGGGATATTTTTTTTTTTTTTTTTTTACAATTTTCTGACATTTTAAAGACCAAACAACTAATCATTTAATCAAGAAAATGATCAACAGATTAATCAACAATGAAAAAAATCATTAGTTGCAGCACTGAATGACAACGGGACCAGACACACACAGACCTGTAAGTTTCCTGTAATTTTCCATAGAAACATTTTACATCCTCCATTTGAGCTACATGACACAGTTTGGTTGGAACAGTGTAGTAAGTGTCTAGTTAAAGAGTGATTCTTGAGTTCACAGGAGCACGTCTACAAATACAAACTTACGAGGCCACAGCATCGCTGTCATTTTCCCCTTACTCTGAGTTTACTTGTTGATGGTCCTGAGGTAATCCCCAGCACACCACTATACACTGTCATACACAGAGATTCACTAACAGACAGCCACAGCCATTTTAAATGTCTCCACTCGGCAGGTTTGGCTGTGCTGATTTGTTCATGTCATTGAAAGATCAGCCTTCCCAAGACATTCAGCAGAGAAACCAAGGCTGTATCTGGAACCGCCTACTACATATGCCCGCAGTATATACTACATACTGCATACTGTATTTCATAGTAGTGTGCAGTATGAAACTGTTACTCGATTTATTTTGCAGTATGCTAGGCCAGACTTAGCCGGATTCCAGTTTTGAAATGTGGAAGTAAACAATAGGAGGAATATAAGTACCACTTACACATTTTTTTCTAATTTAATCTTATGTGAGGAGAAAGGGGCTGCAGCTGGTGTGCAACAAACGTAACTAAAAAGCTGCATTTGTCCTACTACCCATAACAAAGCCATAATGTTGAAGTTAAGCCTGCTAAGTCAAGTTTTGATATTCCAAAGCCAGTAACCTTGTTAACCTTAGCGAGACCACAGCTTAAATCTAACGCTGAGTTATATTTCTTGTTATCAGGGCAGTTATGTTCCTCCTTGTCCAACACTGACGCAGGGATGCTGCTGTCTGCCATTTCAACAATGACTGGTTGTTGAGGCTGCCTGATTAAATAAAGATTAAACAACATCTGGATATTTTAGCATACTGCAGATTTTGATTTTGTTTGCATACTGCACGTTACATTTAGGACAAATCAGTACATACTGCTAGTATAGTAGGCGGTTTTTAATACTGCCCAAGTTTATCAGGGGAAAAATAATGACAGTTAGCAGAAGTCATTGATCACCCTGCTCAGTAGCTGAACGTCTGTGGCATATTTTGGGAAATGCAGTACATAAATATTGCATTCTCAACTGATGGGACATCCTTACATGTTCAAAGGCTCTGGGTGTGCAGGCTAGCAGAAATTAATCTAACTCTACGAGCAGTTCACTGGTTAAAATGTCTGGTCACACACACCCTACACCTGGCACAAACGTCTCTGGTGCAGAATCTTCTCTTATTTACCCCAATGAGTTCCACACAGTGACAGACTTTGTATTCAGTATCGCCAGACACCCTGAGGTAAGATACTGAAATCAGTATCGGGACAGCAAGAGCATCCCTAATTTTTTGTTACAGAAGAACTAGTGAGAGGGAGCAAATGGAGACTGTTTGTCTTGTGAACCAGCAGAGAACTGAGGAAGAGCTTTCTTGATTTTCATAAAGGCTCCACTAGAGATTAACCCAACTCAAGGATTAAAAGTATTTCTGAATGACAAGCAGCAGTTTTCAGTAATCTTAGACAGCAATATGGTTTGTATAACACATTTTTATAAATACAGGAGAAAACAAACTACATTCTAGGTACAATCAGTTACATGTTACAGGCACAATTTGATCCAGACTAGATCTGATCTGAATTTGAGCCACACTAGATCAAATTATAGTGGCCATAGCACATTAATTACTAGAGAAGAGCACTATGTGGAAACACATGCTTTAACTTACTCTACCCATTTAACTTAGCTTTTATATTAGGAATGAGGAAATGCAGGCAAATATTTAGTCATTTTTATTTCCATAGTTTCACTGTAGACATTTAGCTATTAAGAGCTGAAAAACCTGCCTGCACCTCCTCTCCATCTTTCTCCATCACCTCACTGAGTCTCAATAATGAGTTCTGAGGTGAAACACTGCCGGCGTGTAAATCTTCCTGAGTAGTTAATGATTAGCAGCTACTAACGCACACACACAATTGTCTCTAGCTAACTCAGTGACTGGCTATATGCAAACACACACAGTAAAATGTCAAAACGATGCAGACCACTCACCGCAGCATTGCTACGTGTACTCAGACGGGGGTCGTATGTACTCACTTGCTCAGCCAATATCTGCCGGTTTTGGATTGCATTGTTCCGCATTAACAAGAAGGCATCGGTCAGACGCCTAGTGGCCATGACTACCTTGTCTGATATCTAAATTAATACTGGACAAAGTGCGGATCAGGCGATGATTTATTAAATTTCGTCCACTGCCGCTGACCTGCTGCTAACACACCGCTAGCTTTAGCTTTGCCTGCGATGGATGAGGAAAACTCGCGATACAGCGTCTACAGTGGACATCAAACGACCTTATAAATATTTATCTGTCAAGCATCTCTAATACTTAAGTTAAAAATGTGAGACATGACCGAGCGTTTCTTCTTAATGTTTGGATTTAACGTAAGATTAGTAACGGGTTTCCGCTGTGGGCAGCTACGGAAGTAAGAAAACGTAAACACCTGCGTAGACTGCTTCTTCTTCTACGACTCATTTACTGCGGCTGTCAACTGAGTGACTGAGGCCCGCTACTGCCACCCACTGCCTCGCCGAGTCTCTACATACAGAAAGGCCCACATAAATAAATAAGAGCTTCCCTGTGCAGAGTGGTGTAGCTACTGTATGTGCAGAGATTGACACTAGAGTAGGGAAAGTTCCTCTGTGCTCTGCTTAAATCTCATTTTAAGATGTGTAGGCCTACGTATGGGCATGATTTTTTTGACTAGTTTGGAAGCTAATCATGGTCCATCTTGCATCTTACACAAGGGTGGAAACCTGAAACTGAGAATAGACTTTTCAATGAAGTAGGAGACCTGTATCTAATGGTTAAGTTATACATACACACATGTCATACATACAAATATGGTCTTGCATCTTTGTATGTATGACCACTTCCTTCTTTTATTTGTCTACATTGCTTTCAAATGCACTCTAATGTTCCTTTATGTTTATCAGAATCAGAAATCAGAAATACTTTATTGATCCCCGAGGGGAGATTCTTGAATAAGTGTTATGTTATGTGTTTCCCCCTTGCTTTTAAAGTTCAACACATCATCCACTCTCTTGCCTTTCTGCTTATTTAATGACAGGTAGGCTACCTACAGTGTCACTGACTCACTGGGAAACCTTTGAACTGCCAACAGGTCCTTCAGTTTCAGTTTGGAGGATTTTATCTCCAGTGCATTACTCTGCCTCTGCATGTCTTATTTACATGTTTTGACTGGGGTTATGGACCTCAGCCTTCATTGAAACAAAATGAGCTCACAGTCAGATTGTACAGTCCTTCTCTAAGCCTCAGCCATGTCCTCAAATAACAGCTGAAGTAAACAACTCACTGTTTCTCCTAAACTGCGAAATTACATAATGGCAAATGGCAAAATCCCACCGTTTATTTTGAATTTTAAGGCCCAGTCCATATGCTTTTCTGCAAAGACCACAGTTCATGCATGTGAGTTTTCAGAGCCGACGTGTTATATTTTATTAATTTATATGCTCATTCACTCTGTTGACGTTGGGAACCAGAGAGCCTGAACCTTATTCTGATTTTCATGCTTAAAGCCGCAGTATTTAGGGAATGTGTTGACTTGATGGGACGGTACAATAAATCAAACAAGTGCGCGTGCCTATTCGCGTTTGTGTGTCTGTGCGTACACGCGCGAGGCGGCGCCACTAACTGTAATTATGTTGCTAAAAGCTCCTCCTCCGCCCATTCTTAATCCCTTATATCCGCTAATACCGAGGCAGACATTTACCCACAAGCACCAGCTGCCGTCAACTAACGTACCAGGACTCCGTGTTGTGGAGCTCCGTGTTTGGGACAGTTTGTATTTACTTCTTCAGAAGTGTGAGGAGGGAGAAAGGTAAGGAGAGTTCAGTCCTCTCACCTGTGTGGCTCTTACAGAGCAGAATAAATGAAAAGGCGCGCCTGTCAGACACCCTGGCGTCAGATTATAAACATGTTTGATGCCCCTTTTAAATGCGCATCGTCAGTGATGACTTCTGATTTGCTTAGCTGGTTGTACAATACGTTGCTGATTAAGCTGATGGGATATTACAATGCTTTTTTTGGTGTGTGATGGGAAACTTATGCAAAGAATAAAGCTGCACTAGCAATATCAGTACAGACTGCTCAGAGTTCAATTAAGTGCCAATTCCTAACAGAAGTTTTGGCAGTCTGAAATTTTAAGTGAAATTTATTTTATTTTTATTTTCCATTGACAGTTAATTGTCTGTCATTGGAGGGTGAAACTCTGTAATGTTATTACTTAGAGCTCCCTGTGTGCAGACTCCTCATCTGGTCAGATCTTGTTTTAAACCATTTATCCAATTAATTGTTTCTAAACGTGTGAATTGATATCTACAAGATAAACATTTCCTAAACACACTGAATGTGGTACATCTAATTTCCACCAGTGATTCTTGGGATTTCTCAGAACAACGCCCCAGACCTGTCATTGTTTTCTCTTTGCTCATTCAGTTGATCGCATGGCCTCCTCTGACGATGCAGAAGGGTCTCTGACTCCTGTGGATTTTATCCAGCTGCAGCATTACATGGAATGTAGGTTTCACCTCCTCACTCAACATCATTTCAACAGTTATCACTATTACTGGCATGTAAAACACAAAGAGACTAGCTGGAGAGTTTTTTTTCTGATGCTCAGGTTCTCCTTGCTGTGGAGTGAGGCCAAAAGAGAGTCTCCTTTTTGGGAAATCAATAGATCAGTGGCGCTGAAATATTTATTACATTGCACAGATACCTTTATATCCACTTACAGCTGAATATGTGTATAGAAGGAATAATGATTTGCAGTGGTGAAATGAAACAAAGTACATTAACTCAAGTACTGTGCTTAAGAACAGTTTTGAAGCACTTCTCTGAAGTTTTTCCATTTAAAGCTCCTTTATACTTCTACTCCACTACATTTCAGAGGGAAATATTGTACTTTTACTGCACTAAATTTATCTGACAGTTACCAGTTACTTAGCTGATTAAGATTTTAAATACAAAACATATAATCAGCTTATAAATGTGACACATTGTTACAGATTAAACCACCATCTAATTAAAATAAATTTCAGAAAGAACAACTGCATCGTTGACTTACACATTAATGTGTCAGTAATGATAGTTAAATACATATAGCGGTATTTTACTTTTGACTCTCTGATTTTGAATGCATGAAATTTACTTGTAATGGTATCTTTACACTGTTTTGTGCTACTTTTACTAAAGTAAAAAGATCTGATTTGGAAATTGTAAGAAAGTGAACACAGTGGTTTGGTCTTTTTACTTGTCATGGTAAAGAGAAAAATATTTGAAAAGAACAAGAAAAGCTCACACACTTAAATCAGTCAGAATACTATTTTAATGTTATTCTATGTGATTAAACTGCTGAAACATCTGCACATTTCACACCTGTGTGCTATTTACCACAGAAACTGAAAGATTAGATTTAAAAGTGCATTCTGACTAATATGAGTGTGCAAACCTTTCTCACACCTAATGGGTCAGTGACTTACTTTAATGTGTTTCCAGTTACTTTCAAACTTGAGAATCTCTCCTTTGGGAGATCAATCACTTTTCACAAACAGTGAAAGCAGTAGTCACTAAGCACCGGACATCAGCATCGTAAAATAAATGACTGAGGAAGTTCCTCATATTCACTCGCCATCAACACAAAAAACGCAGTGCAGTGGAGGATCATTCAGCATCAACACAAAGTCACAAACAAAAACTCCAAAGTGTAAGTGCCTGCTTTTGTGGCAGGTTTAGAGGTGATACAGAATTTGATAGACCTGTTGACAGGAAACAAAAAGGGGTGTGAGGCTAAAAATATTCTTCCGTACAGTCAGAGGCTTTGAAAGAAATGAAATGAGTGTGTAGGCTTTTAGTGTCGGGGATGGGGAGGGGGTGGAGATATTTGCCCTTTTGGATAATGGATGAATGGATAATTGCACAAGCTCCTCTCTGGACCTGAGAAAAACATCACTGTGTGTTGCCTCTGACAGCAGGGCCCAGATATAATGTAGGATACACACAGTATGTCCATGTCTACAGTTAGTGATGAGCTCACATTTGTTTTCTGATTTAGCACTCAGGAGCCATGTAGTTAATGTGTGGGACAAATGGCAAATAGACAAACAACTAAACTGGTTACTAAGAGAGACAACACAGATTCATATGAGAAAAATGTTCTTTTGTTAATTCACTCACTCTGTGACCTGTCCAATGCCCTCTTCGCAGACAGCAGTTTGAGGGTGAAAGATGTGATCAAGGAGTTTCACCCTGGGGGTCGGCTGGCCCAGCACAGCTTTGGAGAGGTGAGTTTTCTGGACAATGATACATTTGCTAATTTGCTGATGAGTTCCCATTTCTTCTAATCCATTTTGTAGAAAGTTCATGAAAAGAATGATTTAATTAGTTGTTAATTTTGGAGAAAATTTGAATTTCCTCAAAAGAAAATCTTCGTTAAACCCACATTTATATTCATTTATTAAGCCATTTATTATTGGAAACTTTACAACTTTACATGTATGTTGAATTTTAAGACTGTAGCTAAATCTCCCATTTTTACACTTTCAGTTATGCTAGCCATTATTTGGAATTTGAAATGAATCAACATTGTTTTTTCCTGTAATTAGTTACAAATTAAATAGTTTTTTTCCCTAGGAAATTATTAGGAAAGACCAGTCCTGGTAAAAAAAAAAAGGATAACAGTAAATGTAAATGTTACACTAACTCATTATTGTTGTGACCCTGAGTCTCCTGACTATGAGTTTAATTTCTTTGCACAGTGCGTCGATGCAGTGGGCTTCTCACTCTTTCTCAAGACCTACCTAGAAGTGGATGACTTCCCTGCAGACTTCTGCCAACGTCTTTTTCGCTATTTTCAACATGTAGAGCAGAATGGCTCTTCAAAGAGCCCTCTGCCCAAAGGAGGTAAATTATTCTTCGAGTGCTGCGTCATAGGAACGAGGCTGTAGGCTTAGCTTTGGAGATTAGTGCCCCTGTTCCAATAACCAACCTATGATTGAATATTTGCTTTTATTTTGCAGTTCTATGTGTTCATTCGTAATTAAAATAGAAAATCATGCTGTTTTAGATCTCTGTAATGCGTTAAAGGTTCCCAGTTTGGTCATAAGGTTTTTTACAAGTCTTTATTTTCAGGTGGGGTCTTTCTTCGTGACGTGTCCTGTTACTTCTCAGTGCTGGAGGAAGGACAGCCCCGGGAAAAGCTCGAATGTTGGTTTCATGTTTACTGTAGTGCAACTGCATTTAATGTACAGCCACCACTGATGAATGGTTAAGACTGATGATTTTGGAAAGTGGGAGAAAGTTTAGTGGAAGAGAAAGTTCTGGATCACTGACTGACTTTGTTTTGTTTCTAGTTACTTTCAAACTTTACGATAAAGATGTCAACGGACTCCTGGACAGCTCTGTGAGTTACTCAGAATCACTGACAAGTTTCTCTAA